TCAGCCTCCCAAGTGCTGGGATTACAAGCGTGCCCTACCACACATGATTTGGGAAGATATTTTTTAGGAAAAAAATTAAGGAACTGGTTAGAGGAACTTGGTTAAGGAGCTTGGTCTGTATACCAAGATGCCAGCAGACATTAATTCCAGGTAATTAAGTGTGGAAAAGAAAAACAAAAGACAAAACAAAACATTGTATTTTTTACTTTAAAGTAGTTACTTGACAAATACATTTAACTAAAATATTTACTCGACAAATTCATGATGTACAATGTGATTTCAAATATGTATGCATTGATAGTGATAATAAATTATCACTATTAAATTAACATTCATTATCCCTGATACATTAGATTCCCAGATCTTATAAATAAAAGATTATATCATTTAATCAGTATCTCCTCTTTTTCTCTTGCCTCCCAGCCCCTGGCCACCAGCATTCTACTCCCTCTTTTTGTTGTTTGTGTGTGTGCTTTGTGGTGCTGAGTTTGAATCCAGGGCCTTGTGCATGCTTAGCATGTGCCCTACAACTGAGCTACATCCCAAGCCTGGCTCCTGTTTTTATGACTTATCTAGATTCCACATGTGAGATCATGCAGTATTTGTTTTTATGTGCTTGGCTTATTTAACTTAACACAGTGCCCTGCAGGTTCATCTCTGTTGCTGGAATTGGAAAGTTTTTCCCTCTTCTGGGAACTGGCTATTGTGAATAATTCTACAATGAATATGGTTTGTCAACATCTTGAGATACTTCATTTCATTTATACATAAATATTCATATACATATAATCTACAGAAATGAGATTGCTATAGAGTAGTTTTTGGAGCCACTTCTGTGGTGTTTTCTGTAATAGTCGTGCCATTTACAGTCCCTTCAACAGTGTACATGGGTTGCCTTTTCTTCATATTTTCTCCAATAACATCCTATCTTGTCCTCCCTCCCACCACCACTGTCTTTTGGAGACAAAATTTCACTCTGTAGTTCAGGCTGGTGTTTAACTTTGTAGCCCAGGATGACCTGGAACTCACAATGATTCTCCTGCCTCAGCCTCCTGAGTGCTGGGATTACAGAGGTGTGCCACCATGCCCAGCTTATCTTGTCTTTTGATAAGTCATCCTAATCAGGTGTGAGGTGATAGCTCTTTGTTATTTGCATCTTTGATGATTAGTAATGCTAAGCACCATTTTATATACTTGTGCTTTTGTATGCCTTTGAAAACATAAGTATTCAGGTCCTTTGCCTAATTTTTATTTTTTTCTATTGTTTATTATACATTTTAGATATTAGCCCCTTATCAGATATATGTCTTGAAAAATATATTTCATTCTATAGGTTTCATTTTGTTGATTTCTTCCTTTGCTATATAGAAGCCTTTTAGTTTTATATAGCATCATTTATTTATTTTTACCTTTGTGCTTATGGTGTATGTGTGCAGTGCTAGGAGTTGAACCCAGGGCCTTGTGCATACAAAGCAAATGCTCTGTGACTGAGCCACATCTCCAATCCCTATGGCGTAATTAACACTAAGGCCCATGTTAAGGAATTTTTTTCCTATTTTTAATAAGTTTTACCATTTTAGAGCTTACATTCAAGTAATTAATTCATTTTTGAATTTATATATGAGTATTTCATTTAGAGTTAATTTTTTTATTTATGGTGTAAAAAAAGTTCAGTTTCCCTCTTACATATGGATTTCCTATTTTTTCTAGCACCATTTACTGAAGAGACTTTCTTTTCCGCACTGTTTATTTTTATCAAAGATTAGTTGACCTTACATGCATATGTTTACTTCTGGATTCTATATTGTGTTCTATTGGTCCATTTCTGTTTTTATGCTAGTGTTAGGCAGTTTTGATTAATATAACCTGGTAATGTAGTTTGAGAGCAAGGGAGAGGATGTGATGCTTCTAGCTTTGGGTTGGGTTAGTTGGTTTGGATTTGGTTTATTTGAGACAGGGTCTTATGGTATATTCTAGGCTGCCCTTTTACTGGAGGTAATCCTCCTGGCTAAGCCTCCCAAAGTGCTGAAATTACAGGGGTGTGCCACCCTGCCTGGTTCCAGTTTTGTTTTTAAGATTGTTTCGGTAGCTGTTTTTGATGCCTGTAATCCCAGCACTGTGAGAGACTAAGGCAGGATTATGGGCAAATTTGAAGACAGCCTGGGCAATTTAGTGAGATCTTGTCTCAAAGTGAAAAACAGAAGAGGGATGTACTCAGTGGTAAAGTTCCCCTGGGTTTGATCCCCAGTACCACAAAAAGTGATTACCAGATCATTTTCATATCTCTATGGGTTTGAGGATTTTTTTTCTATTTCCCTGTTAAGTGCCATTGGAATTTTGATAGATTTTATTGAATTTGCAGCTCACTTTGGGTATTACAGACATTTTCACAGTATGAATTCATTCAGTCTGTGACCATGGGTATCCTTGGGTTTTCTTCAGTTTGCTTCATCAGTGTCTTACAGATTTCAGTGCACAGATCTTTAACTTCCTTGGTTAAGTTTATTTGAAAGCATTTTACTTCGTTATATTTTTTGTGTATTAAGGATCAAACCCAAGGCCCCATGTGTGCTAGATAAGTGCTCTACTATTTAAGCTATTTCCCAGACATACTTTTTAGATAGTTTGGTTTTATGGATAGAAATGGAACTGATTTTTTAATGTTTATTTTTGTATCCTATAACTTTATTGAATTCATTCATTGGTCCTAAAAGTTTTTTTAGTAGCTTTCAATCAAAGTTTTAAAAATACGTATTGTATCATCAAAAGATAACACTGTCCTTTCCAATTTGGATTTTTTTTTTAACTCTAAATGCATTGGATAGGCCTTTTATGTTGGATATAAATGCAGCTATATTAAATGAGCTTAGAGGAAGGCCTTCCTAAATCTTTTTTTTTTTTTTTTTTTTTTTTTTTTTTTTTTTTTTTTTTTTGTCTTTTTCCTTTTTATCGGTACCAGGGATCGAACTCATGACTGCCTGCTTGCAAGGCAGGCGCTTATGCCGCTGAACTAAATCTCCAGCCCCAAGGCCTTCCTAAATCTTATAAGAAAGAAACATATAACAGTGGCAGTAAAGGAATAATTAATGAAATAACAGGGAAAAAAGAAAGAAGATCATTGTGGAAAAGAAGTAAAATTTTTATGAAGTAATGAGAAAATAGATGAGATTGAAGGAACAATGACCCAGATCCTTTCTGGAGGCCCTAAGCTAGTTTTGATGCTAGTTGTGAGAGATGATATATACTGGAATGAGGGTTACAGTGGGGAAAGTAATGGAAATTTGAGATTAATTTTAGAGAAGGAATAAAAGCATTTGACAAGAGATTGACGAGTGAGTGGTTGGGAGGAGGCTTGAAGGAAAGACAAGATGTCTAGGGTTTTGTCTTAAGTAATAGTGTCATTATTTGATAAAGAGATATTTGGGGGGAAGAGAAAGGATGATAGAGGCTAAAATCAGATCAGCTGACGATTTCTTTGTTAGCTAGACTAGTTCAGAAGCCCTTTAATGGCCTGTCAGTTTTAGTCCTGCTCTCGTCAGTCTATTCTTGGCCTATATTTAGAGAATAAACTTTTAAGTTCTATTGCCAAGAAGTCTATGTAATCTAGCCTCTGTCTGATTTTTTTTAATACTACTCTTCCTTCGTTATGAGATCTTGTCTCAAAATACACCACCAAACAAACTACTCTCCCCTTTTCTGTGCTCTGCTGGTCTCCATTCTTTGTTAAGCATAGCATAGCAAGCCTGTTCCCACCTAAAGGCTTCTCTGCCTGCTATTTTTCCTTCTTTGAAACCTATCTAGAGTGTCACCTTAAACAAATTTATTAGTTAGAATGCTTATAACTGATTCATTCTCCTGCCTCCTCCCCTTCTTCCCTCCTTCTTTCTCCTTTCTCTCCTTCTCCCTCCCCTAATGAGTTTTTAATTTTACTTTCTTTAATATTTTTACTATTATTATCATTTGGTGTTGAGACTTAAACCTACGATCTTGCGTATGCTAAGCACGCACTTTGCCACAGGGCTACCCTCGAAGTCCCTATGAAATGTTTGTGTGTGTGTGTTTATGCATGTATTTTGGTACTGTGGACTGAACCTAGGGACTCCACATGACCAGTGAGCTACATCCTAGACTAGTGATGGCAACCCTTTTGGAACTTTCAATGATAAAAAACAGCCCACTGTTGTATGTGTGCCATAGATTCAACCACTGTCCTAACCCTTCCTATTTTTTGAGGCACAGAATCTTAAGTTGTCTAGACTGTAGTAGCTGGGATCACAAGGATGTGCCACTATCCCTAGCTGAATAATTTTTTTTACATTTTATTTAAATTAGGAAAAAGAAAAAGAAAATAAAAATTAGCCAGAAAACCCTTTACTTTTTTATTTTCACTAAATTAACAGTTATAGGATACTTATATGCTAATAATATGTTTAACATTCCTTGCTGTTTCTTTAACCGGAATTTATAGACTTTCCTGCTAAAATCTCAGTTTTATATTTGAAAGGCAGAGAGAAATTCTGTGAAATATTGAAATAATTTAAACCACCTTAGACTTAGAAGTACATATAAATGAAACAATTTATATTAAGTTAGAAAAAGGTTGGTATTTGTTTAGAATTTAATTTGTTGTTTTTGGATTTTTTCTATCTTAAGTGTGTTTTAAATACAGTGTCATAAAAAATATAAATAAGTACAATATCATTTTCTCTGAAATAAATCTTTTCAGTTCCTATGAAAACCATTTTTGGTCTAGCTAGCCATGGAGTGATGCACCACACATCACAGCTGTCATCACAGCTACCCGGGGTGGGGGGTAAGGCAGGAGGATCACTAGTTCCAGTTCAGTCAAGGTAACATGGTGAGACCCTGTCTCAAACCAGACACATAAAAATGGCTGGGAATATTGCTCAATGCTGTGTGGGTTCAATCCCAAATACCAGAAAAACAAAAACAAAAAAATGTTTAAAGTGTTTCTGAGGTACTCATGTTTCCTTTTTCAGAGCATATACTTGTAGAGAGCACTAGAGCATCCAGATTTGAAGCAGTCAGGAATGTCCCTGCCAAGTCGACAAACAGCTATTGTTAACCCGCCTCCACCAGAATACATCAATACTAAGAAAAATGGGCGGCTGACAAATCAACTGCAGTATCTACAAAAAGTTGTCCTGAAGGCGTTATGGAAACATGGCTTTTCCTGGCCTTTTCAACAGCCTGTGGATGCTGTGAAACTGAATTTACCTGTAAGTATGTCTTATAATTATGTTAATTTAAAAAGAAGAATCCTATAAATCTTCGTAACCAGCCTCTAACATCATATATATAACACATATATATCATATATATATATATGATCATATATATACATATATATAAAATGCTAAACTTAGTCTAATGTTTTTATTCATTTTCTTCTGTGATACTTTTTTCTGCTGTGCAACTTCCTCTTCTGGTTTTGGAACAGTGTGTTCCGTTTCAGTAAGTATCATCTCAGTGTGGCAGGGAGCTCATTTATGGCTTCATCTGACTCTGAGTATAGTGAGCATCTTGGAGGTTTTGTTCATTCACCTGGATATATTCAGGGACTACAGAATTGACATCTAAACTCAAATTCAGTGTTACTCTGCATTTTTAAGTATCAGAGAAATCAGCACTCTTTTTGGGTCACTGACCTTGTGTCTAACATCTGTTTGGCATAGATAGATCTCTCCCCACTCAGCATTTTAACACTGGAGTGACTACCACAGTCCCTGATCCTGCCCCTCTTCTCCCCCTGCCACTCTCTTCCTCCTTGTTCATGTATGTGTGCAACACAATAGTTATACTCTTTTTGGGCATTGCTGTATGCATGTAGCATATCTTGGTCATTTTTTATTCCTTTACCTTCCGCTTTCCTTCCCTCTTCCCTGTGATTCCTTTCCCATCTCTGGAAGTCTATCATCTTGTTTTGTACCATCTCATGTTTAAACATGAGTATGCATGTATCACTCTAGTAAGATATCTTTAATTTTTTTGTATGTGTGGTTTTGTTTTTTTTTTTGAGACAAGGTCTTGCTGTGTAGTTCAGGCTGGTCCTGAACTCATTATACAGGCCAGGCTGGCCTTGAACTTGTGGCAGTCCTGCCTCAGCCTCCTTAGTGATAGCATTATAGGCATAACCCACCACATTCAATTTTTAATTCTTTTGTTTAAAAGAAGATCTCTTTTATTCTTTAGTGGCCCACTATATCACTGTAGTAAGATTGTCATTAATTCTTATGTTTGTTTTTTGTATTTTGTATATTTCAGACTGTCTTGAACTCATGTAGCCAGGCTAGCCTTGAACTCATGGGGGTCCTTCTGCCTCAGCCTCCCCAATGCTGGAATTATAATCATGTGCCAACATACCCAGTCTTTCTTTTTTTTTTTTTGTACCAGGGATTGAACGCATAACCTTGCACTTATCAGGCAAGCACTTGAACTGCTGTGCTAAATCCTTAGCCCCTTTAATTCTTTTGATTAAAAGAAGATGTCTTTAATTCTTTCAAGAATACTGCTAGGAGAATTGTAAATGAGTCAAATGGAACTTCTTTTTTTATTATTGGTATACTTTAGATAAATATGATAACATTCATCGTAGGGAATTTTTATCTGTGTGTGATAAAAATTCAATTCTATCTTTTTCCCCATTCTCCTACCCTCCCTTCAAATCCTTTTCCTCTTATTTACAAAAGCTTTGTTTACATTTTTTCCTTTTTTCTCATTTTTTAATTTTTCCTCCCTTCTTTTTCCTCTTCCCCTACCTAGTTTTCCTTCCCACTGAAACATTTTCTTCCTATTTTACAATATGTATTGTACATTTTGGCCTTTATTTCAGTTTCTTACACCAGAAAACAATGCAGTATTTAAACATATGTACCTGATATATTGCACTTAAGAGTATCATCTCAAGGTGCATCCTTTGCCTATAAGTGTCTCAAGTTTTCCTTTTTTATGGAAGAATAGTATTGTATTTTTTTAAAAAGCGCACATGTTCTTTATATATTCATTCATTGGTTGATGATTGGGCTGTTCCTATGATTTAGCTATTACAAACTATGTAATAGCTATGATTAGCTATTACAAACTCTGCTGCTATAAACAAAGGTAGGCATGTATCACTGCTTAAATGATGCTTTTAATTCTTTTGAGATGACACCAAGAAGGGCAGTAACTGGGTCAAATGGGACCTATTGTCCTGGTTTTTTGAGGACTTTACATACTGATTTCCACATTGTAGGTTTTTAAAGGTAATCAGTATCACACTGTTGAGTTACAGATGTATAGTTTATAAAATTTCTCTGTGCACTAATACTTGTGAATTCATTCTTATTAACACTTACAATTTCTTCAAATCCATAGGATTATTATACCATTATTAAAAACCCAATGGATTTGAATACAATTAAGAAACGATTGGAGAATAAATACTACGTGAAGGCTTCGGAATGTATAGAAGACTTCAATGTAATGTTCTCAAATTGTTATTTGTACAATAAGGTATGTAAGCCCCTATTATACTACTAATCCATTGCTTTTACATAAAAGACAGATATGTATAAGTAAGTGTACTTATTTCAAAATTCAAGTTTTGATTTGGACTACTTTACATTTATTTAAGGATAATTTTGTCACTGGTTTCTAGCGTGTTGTTCAGGCTGGCTTTAAACTCACTGTATAGTGAACGCTAGCTTTGAACTTATAATCTTTAGCCTTCTGCTTTAGCCTTCTGAGTTCTGGGATTATAGGCATACACTGCCATGCCCAAACAGACATATTCTTTAAGACACATTTCCATTAGTCCTCCTCAAAATATTCCCCCTCAGTTTCAAATACCCTTATCCCATTGTTCTTGCCACAATGTGAAACAGCTGTGGAAGTCTTTGTGAGTTGTGTTTCTACAAGGTCTGATCAAAAATACGGTGAGTGCCCCTGCCAAGTGCCATACAACAGGAAAGCAGGCTCCTAAAAACATTTACATGTCCTCGGCCCACTTTACTCACTGGATCTGGCTCTGTGCAACTTCTGACTCTTCCCTACAGTCAAAATAACCATGAAAGGTAAATGTTGTGAATCAGTTCAGGACATAGATGTATCCCTGACAGCACAGCTAATGATACTTACAAAAGAGGACAGCTAGAGCTGCTTCAGAAAGTGACAAGAATGATTACATAAGTGAGGTGGATTTAATGTGTTCTAAGTGAGGAGGGCTTTATGGTAGTATATCTTTTATGTCTTTTACTGTCATAAAGATTTTTTAAATTTAAGCATGTTACAGCTGTGCCTCGTATGTGGACATTTCGTACTTAGTCTTCACATTTGTTCTTATCTGTGAAATTGGATTTATGTACTTAGTTTTCTTTCCATTCAGTATTCGTACTTTCCACTGTGTCATACTCTTTTTGATCTGTTTCATGGCACCTAAATATTTTAAGACTTTCCATTTAGATATGAGAAATCTAAATATTTGGCATTTAGTTTATACAAAATCACTCACTAGTGATACTGAAATATAATAAATTTTGATTTGGTTCCCAAGGTTACTATCAATGCTACCTTGTTTGTATAAAATATTTAAAACTGTTAACTGATGTGTTTTAAAAACAAGTATCAATAATTATCAATGCCATTCAGCTTTATCTTATTTTAAAAGCAATTCTAAAGTGTTCTTATATCTTTGACACTTTAAAACAAAATTCAGTAGTTTTCCTTAGCTATGTAACTTAGAAATAAATGTTTTTGCTTTAGATTGTTGCTTTTTAAATTATTTTTTTCTCAGCAGTAAAATAAAGCATAAGACTTCTAACTAACCTGATAGTTAAGATTTTTAAATTTGAGTCAGCACGACAGTGTTAACAAAGAAAGTAATAGTTGCTTCCAGTCAAACAATGAAGTACTTCATCCAGTAATAAATATATATTGTTTTAACCTGTTGAGTAGAGATTTTGATTTGTATTAGTAGGATTGGTTGGATTATACTTCTAGTACTTAGGCATTTGGGTCCTTTTTAGAAGTTGAAGAGGTAGGATGTTAGAATTTAACGTTCACTATTTTCATAACTCAATTTAGAAGAAATAACTAACATATAGGAGTACTGTATCACTGATTTCTGTAAGTTAGCCTGAATTTTTAAAAAATTTGGTGCAGTGGTCATATTGTATATCCCTCTGATATATTTAATATATTTCTAGCCTGGAGATGATGTTGTTCTCATGGCACAAGCTCTGGAGAAGTTGTTTGTGCAGAAATTATCTCAGATGCCACAAGAAGAGCAAGTTGTGGGCAAAGAAAGAATAAAGAAAGGTAAGTGAGGAGAGTTAAATCATGTATGTCATCTCTGTATCTGATCTCTCTCCCCCCTCCCTCGCATGTCCTCCCTCCCTCTTTCTCTCTTGCTCAATCTCTCTCATGTATATAAACATAAAATCACTCAAAGAAGACAGATGTCTGAAGTTTTCTACATCCTGTTATATTGGTACAATGTGTCCTGTTCATCTGCTAAACCTTAATCACAAGGATGGTTATCACGTAAAAAGAAGGAAGATTGCATTGATAATGGGATTAAAGCCAGGCTTCCTGTTGCATAGTGATACTCATCAACTAGGCATCCAATAAATCATACTTGCTACTACTACTATTTCCAGTATAGTTTGTAACTATGTACTATACTGATGAGGCCCTCATTGCCAATAGATTCTGTAGCTAAGAATGAAATGTTTAGTTATATTCCGAAAAAGTACTTACATAAATCGCTATTTTGCTAAAAACCAGAATTAAATTAGAACGTAAAAAAGAATGGTCTTTTATACATACTCAATTTGACTTTATTCATATTTTACTAGGCATTCAACAGAATGCATCAGTTTCTTCTGTTAAAGGAAAACCCTCCCCCAAAGCAACAGAAATTTTATTTAAGCAGCAAGAGATTTCCTCTGTACTTTCTGAGAAATCCATCTTTCCTTTAAACATGGCACAAGGAGCTCAGCTCTACTCTAGCTCACAAACTGTGGTCCAGGTAAGTTTATTAGTTTTTAAATGATTAGTTCTTAAAATATTTTTATTTCCCAGTATGATGGTACTTTCTTTTGGGTTCTTTGTTTTGTTTTGGGGCTGTAAGTACAGTCCTCTGTTTTTTAGAACAGGACCTCACTAAGTCACTAAAATGGCCCAGACTGGGCTCAAAATTGCAGTCCTCTTGCCACAGCCTCCCAAAATACTGGGATCTACAGGCATGAACCCACTGTGCCTGGCTTGTACTTTGTTTAAGTTGATATTAAAATTGGTCTTCAGCATACAAGAATTTTGCCATACTATTTCTGCCTTTGTGTCTTATGAACAGTATCCTAGAATGCTAACCAAAGTTTAGAGATTTCTTTGGTAGAATTTAAACTTTTAATATCTTGATAGTATTAAAATCAAAAGTTGTCTACTCATATAGTTTGTTTAAAAATGTGTACTCTGGGGCTGGAGATTTAGCTCAGTGGCATAAGTGCCTGCCTTGCAAGCAGGCAGTCGTGAGTCCGATCCCTGGTACCGATAAAGAGGAAAAAGACAAAAAAAAAAAAAAAAAAAAAAAAAAATGTGCCCTAGTTTATTTCAAATATTTACAAATCTTTTGTTTACCATGACTTTGATTTCTGTCCTTTATTGTCTTAAGACTTTTTACAAGATAATTTTTTTGGAATGTGGGAAGTAATTATTAGAGCTGTTTATTTTGTCTATAAAAAGAAATTAGTCTTTAAGATTTAACACATGAATTGACAACAGTATGTCTAAGTTATCTATATTGCCTTTTTCTTTCATTTTTTGTTTTGATTTTTGAGACAGGGTCTTGTTTTGTGGTTAAAGACTGGCCTTAAACTCATAGTGATCCTCCTTCCTGAGCCTCCAGGCTGCTGGATCACATGGTGCATCACCATATCCAGCTGTAATTGATGAATATCTCCTTAAGTATAGCTTTTGTTGAACTATTGCTTTTTATTGTTGAATTGTTTCACTTTAGGCTACCAGAGGTGTGAAGAGAAAAGCAGATACAACAACTCCTACAACCTCTGTAGTTAAAGGAAATAATGAATCTTCTACACCACCTGTGGAAAAAAAACAAGCCAGAATGCCACCAGTAAAAGAAAATGAATTGAAAAATGTTTTGCCGGATTCTCAGCAGCACTGTAAAATGGGAAAGAGGATCAAAGTAACTGAACAACTAAAACACTGCAATGAAATTCTTAAAGAAATGCTTTCCAAGAAACATTTTTCATATGCATGGCCCTTTTATAATCCTGTTGATGTTAATGCTCTGGGATTACATAACTACTATGACATTGTCAAAAATCCAATGGATCTTGGAACTATTAAGGTAAGTATTGCCTTACTAGAACTTTTTTTCTTTTTCTTGGTAATTGTTTTGTTTTATATTTTTAGATACAAGTTCTTGCTGTGTAGCCCAGGCTGGCCTTAAAATCTCAGGCCTCTGCTTCAGCCTCCCAAGTACTGGGCTTTTAGGTATGCACCATCCTGTCCAGCTGACTTCTTTTCTTGATATAAAAGTTCATCCAGCTGGACATGGTGGTTCATGCCTATAACCCCAGCTTCTGAGGCTAGACAAGAGGATCACTTGAGCCCAGAAGTTTGATGTCAGCCTGGGCAACATGGCTACAATTTGTCTCAAAAAGAGAAAGAAATGTATCATGCAAAACTCAGAAAAAGATAAAGAAAACCTGAATCACCAGAACATACCATCTGAAGCAAATTATTGGAACAATGATTGTCGTATGAACACATCCATTCTCCTTTATCATAATATTTGGATTATAGTATGTAATATCATCTGTACCCTGAATTTTAATTCCCTTATAATGGACATTTTCCTGTTTTGCCTTCTTCAAGATTGTTTTTCATTTTTTGTACTGAGATTAAATGCAGGGCCCTGTACTGCTTCATCACTGAACTACACCCCTAGCACATTTTGTAATTTTTATTTTCAGACAGGATCTCACTAAGTTTCCCAGGCTAGCCTTGTGATTCTCCTGTCTCAGTTTCTGAAGTAGCTGGGATTATAGGAATGTAGTACCACACCCACCTTCTTTAAGAATGCTTTTTTTAATAATTGCATGATTCTAGGTTTTTAAAAGTTATTTTTGGTGAGACATTTATGCAGTTTATGACTTCCTTACTGTTCCTTTTTTGGGAGGATATCTTCTCCTGCATTGGTAAACTTTCTTAATTGTTGATTTGGAAATTTTTAAAATTTGTTTTGTTTTGATTGTTATTATTTTGAAATAGGGTCTTACTGTGTAGTTCAGATTGGCCTTGAATTCACAAAGTAGTCAGGATGTTCTTGAACTTGCAGTGATCCTTTTGCCTCAGCCTCCCAAGTTCTGGGATTATAGGCATGTGCCTCCATATCTGGCTCGAAGTTTTAAATCATTGAAAAATTTTATCTACAGTGTGTTATGTATATTAATTTTATGGTTAACTACTTAAAAGGATAGAACTATGTAGGATCTTCAGAATTATTCAGTATCTCAGTCATCCTCCCAAATAACTACTCTTTATACTCTGTTCTTTAATTTTTGTTTAGATGTTTGATTTTTCATTTAAACATAATTTTACTTCCTTTTTAATCAGCCACATTAATGTTTACTAACATGTCTGAATCTATTGTTACTTTTTTTTTTTTTTTTTTTTTGCCATATTGGGCGTTGAACCTAGAGCCTTGCACGTTAGGCAAGATCTCTACACTGAACTATATCCCCAGCCTTTTTAAAAACAGTTTCATTTTGAGACAAGATATTAACAAGTTGTCCAGGCTCCCCCAAACTTGTGATCCTCCTTCAGCATTGAGTAGCTAGGATTACCAATGTGTGCCCTGTGCCTGAGTATCTATACTCATCCTTATTCTCAAGTAATTATTTGCCCTTATCCTCGAGTGATTATTAGGTAATTCTAAAATAACAGTTATTTTACCTCAGCAGTTGGAAGACATTCTAGCATCTGTTCCTGTTACCTGCTTTCCTTTCTCTCTTGTTGTATATTTCATTTTATTTATCTTAACTGGAGATTAACATTTTCAGTGTTAAAACCATGTCTTTTAAGTTCTGAAAATATGTTTAACCATCATGTCTTCAAAAGAGTACTTTTCTAATTTTTCCTGAATATTAACTCAGATTCAGAGGCCATGAAGCATTATCTGACTTAAGTAAACCTGCACCAATTCTTAAATGATAAATAGGACTTTAATAAGTTACTGAATATTCTAGGCAGGGGAGACAATTTATAGAATGGCCATGAGATGAAGAAAATATTCAAAATACTGTATTTGAAATGCATGGGGAATATGAAGGAAATCTGGGCCAAGATGAGACTAGCAGGAAATACGGCTTCCAAGAAAGACTAATGGAAAGAAGCCAACAGCTGCCGTTAAACATGGAAGTTATCTCCTCATATTTAATTTTTATAATGGTTGTTTTCTAGCATCAGTTTACAGACGGGTTAGGAGGCTATTGCAGGATTCCAGTAACTAGAAGACAATGACCTTAATTCTCTGGAGTATGTCAATTGCCAGTAATCTGACTGGTAGAAGATTATGTTTCATGTTTCAGTTTTATACTTCCTTACTTTCCAATGAGGACTATTATATTTCATTTGTTTATTGGCCTTTCATATTTGTTTGTGAATTTTCCATTAATGTATACATTTAGTCTAGTTGTCTGTAGGATTTTTTTGCTAGTTTTTCTTTTAATGGCTGCTTTACCTTTTACTCTTCTATCTTATGTGCAACCATCTAAAAATATAATCCACACTCATATTAGCCTTCTATTTTAATATTTTTTTATTCTCAGAAGATTTTAATATAAATCTTTCATTCAGATGATCAAGATTGGCTTAAGGAGATTATTCTTTTATTGCTTTCTTACTATTAAACTTGCCTACTCAAGACCATCTGATGACACTGTTTTTCTGCCTTTCTGATTTTATTCTTATCCTTTTCTTTGCTTGGAATTCTTTTCTTTATCTCTGCTTGCCAAAATTTATTGGATTTTTTTCAGCTCCTACAAAATGTGTAACAGTATAATTTTAACATTTGTCAAATATAGTGGGTAACTGTTTTTGTCTTTCTTTTCTGCATTCTCCTGTATTTCTGAATCTTTTCATAATATAAACACTTAAAAGAGGGATGCTTAGTTGTTGACTTAAACTATATTGTTTGTGAATCCTGTAATTTTTCCTTAATTTAGAAAAAAATGGACAACCAAGAATATAAGGATGCATATGAATTTGCTGCAGATGTAAGATTAATGTTCATGAATTGCTACAAATACAATTCTCCAGATAATGAAGTAGTGGCAATGGCTAGAATGCTTCAGGTGAGTTTTCATTTATGAAAACATGAAAAACTTACTCATGAAATATATGAGAAATTTAGGAAAAATGTACTTTTCCTCTGAACATAGTTGAAAATTTTTAGAAATATAATTTAAGAGATAAAGAATACGCTTCTAAATAGTACAGAAAAATTTATAAACTATATTTTTAAAACTCTGTAGGCTTGTCTTTTGAGTTATTTTATCTGTTAGTAGCAAATCTTTTAGTGAAGCTATTCATGATCCTGAAGAAATGAGGAATAGTGTGGAGAGAGGGCTGTAGCTATTTGAGATGGGGTTCATTACAAAAGGTCCCACTCAAAAGAAGGTCCAAGGGCATGAGAGTCTTAGTCAGTGGAAGATAATAATGCACCAAATACAAGATTCTTAAAAGGATTTCCCCTTTACAACTCGGGACTGTCTTGTTTGGGAAAATGACGAAAAGTTGACAGGCAAAGAATTGTGTGACCTTGGTATGTCTTTTAAAATTTTTGATCAAAATATGATAATAAAATTCCGTGTGAAAAGGTGTTATTAAGCATTAAATCAGAAATGCAGAATACTTTAATAGTCTAATTTTCCACCATAGGATGTTTTTGAAATGCATTTTGCCAAAATTCCTGATGAACCTATTGAGAGCACTCCTGTATGTAACATCACAACAGGCACTACAAAAACCCTTAGTAAAGAAAGCAGTGGTGAAGCTTCCTCTGAAGATAACTCTTCAGATGATTCTGAAGATGAACAAGTTAAGCGTCTTGCAAAGCTTCAGGAGCAGGTAGTTGATTATTATCAATACAGATTTTGATCTTATTTCTACAAGCTGATCTATTATAAAATTCTTGTAAGCTTTTCATTTGCTTATTGATTGGTACGGGGGATTAATCCTAGGGAGCACTGAGCTACGTTCCCAGCCCTTTTATATGTTGAGACAAGATCTCTCTCTGTTACCCAGGCTGGTCTTCAACTTTCAAACCTTCTGCCTTGTCTCCTAAGTAGCTAGGATTACAATTATGTGCCCTTATACAAAACTTTTTTGAGTGTGTATAATTGTGTAGATCAAACCCAGGACTTCATACATGCTAAACAAATGCTATACCGTCTTATATATTTAAGACTGCTATATTTAGACCACTTAGCAAATGCAAATTTATTTACTTATTTCATATTTTGTTATTTCATATTTTGCCAACTCAAATGTCTATATACTTGTAAAATTATTTCTGTTTTTAAATATAATTCTGTTGTTTATATTCCTAGTCACAACAAATGGTTGATTCATACCGAAATGATTTATGACATAATCTGAGATGTGTCATGGATGACATCTTATTTAATTTGTTGTGTTTGGATGACATTTACTTAATTTGCTATGTTTGTGATAAAATGTTAGCTTTCTCTAAGCTTAGACTTGAAAAGTTCGTGATTAAACAATTTAAGCTTAAATTGTGAATTCACATTTCCAAGCAATCTTAAATTGTCTATTTTTATTTATTTTTCTTATTTTTGTAGTGCTAGGAATCAAACTAAGGCCTCTCATTTGCTGGGCTGCTCTTTACCATTGAACCATACTCCTAGTCCTCTTTAGATGACTTTAGTCTGCTTTAGATGCTTAAATTTATAGGTGGAACACATTATATAGTGTTTGAAGTTTAATGTACACTTTTCAAAACAATGAATTTGTGAAGCGAAATAAACACTTAAAGAAAATAAATGAAATTCACAACAAATACTCTAGACTTTAGAATGCTTTAATTTTTTTTCTAGTGTCTTTGATTATTAAAAGCCATAAATGTGAAGATTATTTTTTCTTTTTTAGCTTAAAGCTGTTCACCAACAACTACAGGCTTTGTCCCAAGTACCTTTCCATAAGCTAAAGAAAAAAAATGAGAAGACTAAAAGAAGGAAAAAAAGAGAAACTATTAATAACAAAGATGAAAACCCAAGGAAAAATTTTCAACTAAAGGAAAAGTCCAACAACAAGTAAGTATTTTTAAGATGACTTATGTAAAGAATAACATTATCAAAAATAAATTTGGCTGGAATGTAGCTCAGTGGTAGAGTATGTATTTAGTATGCCCAGGGCTCTGATTTGCATGTCCACCTCCCAATAAAATTTGACTAATGGTAATTTTATTACAGTCAACCAAAGAAGAGGAAGCAAGAGGTCTTTACTTCTAAATCTGAAGATGAAGATAATGCCAAGCCTATGAACTATGATGAGAAAAGGCAGTTGAGTTTGGATATAAACAAACTCCCGGGAGATAAACTGGGCCGAGTAGTTCATATAATACAATCAAGAGAACCCTCACTGCAAAGTTCCAATCCTGACGAGGTGGAGATAGACTTTGAAACACTGAAACCATCAACACTGAGAGAACTAGAAAAATACGTTGCAACATGTCTAAGAAAAAGACCACTAAAACCCCATGGTAAGTGTTTCTGCGTATTAATAAAAGTCCAGTTGGTGTTTGTGTCAATTTTTAGTTATGCTTACTTTTTTTTTAACTCTTAAATTACACAGATAAGAAAGTAATGAAGTCCAAAGAAGAAATTCATTCCCAGAAGAAACAAGAGCTAGAAAAGCGGTTACTGGAGGTCAACAATCAGTTAAATTATGGAAAACGTCAAGCAAAATGTAGGTGGCAGTTTTTAAATGCTCTTATAACTATTTGATACGATTGTCTTTTTTTTTCCTTTTGGCATTTTAATGTGTTTTCCTGTTTGGTAGCTGAGAAGCCACAGTCATCCACAGCGGTTGGAATTGGATCCCGCTTGAGTGAAAGCAGCAGTAGCAGCAGCAGCAGCAGCAGTAGCAGCAGCAGCAGCAGCAGCAGCAGCAGTAGCAGCAGCAGTAGCTCTGCTGGGTCTGAAAGCAGCAGCAGTGATTCCAGCTCTTCTGACAGCAGTGACTCAGAACCAGGTTAGCCTGACCCTAAATGTGCCCTCTCAGTAGGATGGGAGCACTTTGTTTTTTGTAATATTGAGACTCTGTCTCGAAGAAGTGTTTGTTACTTACCCAGAACCTGTGGTCTCAATGCCATATTTATTATTTAATTGCACGTAGGCACTGTGTGTAAAGTGAAATTTTATATTATGTATATATGACTTGTAGATTTCTAATGTTAAAAATAACTTCACTGTCTTTTATTCATGGTGGGATAATCTCTTAATAAAACTAGAATTTAAAACCAAAAAGTATCAGATGGTGAAATACTGGATTTTATCTTCTTTTTATAAAATAAGATTTTTTGAGGGTACTTTTCTGTTTAATTTCCATGATAGTGCATCATTCTAATGTAAAGTATGGTGTGTTGTGGTGCTACAGTTTGAATTCAGCAGTCATTTGGAATTAATAAGCCAGTTATCCCAGAAGTTGTAAAGCAGATTTTTTCCCCTACTTTCTTGGTTTCTTTATCATAGAATATTATCTTCCATCTACAGCAAAATGTACCTTAAATTCATATTCTCATTTACATCAAAGTACCGTATTACATTGTATAATTTACCATTGTATCAAATTTAGATCATGCATCCTTTGTGCTTTTTGGTTAATGGTCATACAGTTGAAAAATAATCACTTCTAATTTGGCAATGGTAGTCCATCACTAATGATCAAAAGGCAAATTGAGAATGTCAGATACTTTTGCACCTAAAATTTGCTTTCTATTAAATGAAACGTTTCTTGTGAAAAATTCAGTTTTCCTTTTTAAAAAAATCCCTTACAGATTATTTTGACATTAAGGATTCCTGCCATTTGTAAGAGTGTGTCTTTTCAGACTAGTAGAAGGTCTGTTGGATTGCAGTTTCACTTTGGTTCTGTTTAGCTTGCATTTATGTGGTTCTGATTCCTTCATTTCACTTTTGCATTTCTTGTTTTGTTTTGAGACAGGGTCTCACTGCACAGTTCAGGCTGGCCTGGAACTCACTGTGTGGCATAAGCTGACCTTGTGATCCTGTTGCTTCAGCTTCCTAAATGCTAGGATTATAGGTGTGAGTTACCATGCCAAGCTATCATTACATACTTTAGAAATGTATAAGTATAACTAGTCTAGTGGTGCAGTCCCATAATCCCAGCACTCACGAGACTGAGGCTAGAGAATCACCACAAGTTGGAGGCCAGCCTGGCTTCATAGTGAGACTGTCTCAAAAAGCCAAAAAAATAAATAAAGGGTGTAGTAGTAAATAATTTTGTTAGAATAAACAGAATTTTTACTTCTGCTGGATTTGGTTATGCTAGAAAATTTTGAAGTGTAATTAGGGCTCCGATCATATGATATTTTCTTATTTGATTGCTAAGCAAAAAACAGTACTGGAAAAAATTTTAAGTTGCATTTAGAATTTTAAATTGTAATTAGCAATTGTTATTTAATAAAGCATTTGTGGCCTAATAAGTTAGAGCACTTTGTCTTTTATTTGTAGGATAAAATGTTACTGTAATTGTTATAATTATTTGATTATTGATCAGCAAATATTTTCAATATTAGCAGAAAAGTAGTTTTCAATGAACTACCTGAATTTTAAGATGAATTATCAGATTTTGATAGAATAATATATTGCTTGAAGGAAAGAATGCTCATCTTTATCAATATATATTTTTAAATGGTACAATATTTTACATTTTTCTTACTTTCTAGGAAAAATCTTCTCTTCACAATTCAAATCTAAAGACACGGCTGAATTTTTATGACTGACATTCTAGTTAATGCCATTTTTTCAATTAGAGGGAGATTTTAAAATATATATATATTGTTAAAATCAAAGTAGCAAATTTTTTCTTTTCCTGTTTCTCCCCCTTTCCCTTCCTTTTCTCCCTTCTTTCTTTCCACATTGTGAATTAAATTCAGTCTTGTTCATGCCAGAAAAACACTCTACCAGGGAGCTATACCCTTATCTCAAGTTTTCCTATATCTATGTTGCAAGTACAATTTGTGGCACTGAGGTCAATTTGTTTTCTAACCTGATCTTGCGCATTGTCATTTATTTTTTGAAATGTTAATTATTTGATGAACATTCTGTGTACTTCATTGAAAATACATGATTTATGTGTATAATAAACTGCAAATGTAACGTCTGCCTTAATGAGAAATTTTATATATCTTTGCTTGATATATTTAAATTCTTGCTTGGCAAGCATGAGGTCATGAGTTCAAGGCCCAGTACCAAAAAAAAAAAAAAAAAAAAAAAAAAAAAAAATATATATAAATTCAACAAGGACCTTTTGTCTTCATTGTACCTTTAAACTCCTTAATTCCTAGTGTATCAGTAACACCAAAAATTATAAAGAAAAAAACTATAAACTGCAGAAAATAAACAAGTCAGACTATATAAAAAATATCTTTCATAAAATTAGTAAAAGCATTTTTAATTATGCATATGAAATTCTTAAAGAATAGATAACAAATCTTTTGTCAAAGTGTTAGAGATGAATGAAATGAGGCTCTTTAGTGAGAAAATAAAATTTGAAAATTAGGTATATAAGCAAAAGCTTTATCTGCTACATCTTTATAACTTGGGCTAGTGTGTGGCCTTGTGGCAGAGCTCATACCTAGCATATACAAGGCTATGAGTTCAATTCCCTGTATCACTCCCCCCCCCAAAAAAATGTAATTTTGGTTTGCTCCTCAGTACCACAAAAATAAATATCTGGATGTGATGGCACACACCTGTAATCCCAACATCTGGGACACTGACACAGAAGGATGTAGAATTTGAGGCTGAGCTACATAGTATACATGGAAAATCTGAGGCCAGGCTGGGGCTATATAGTGAGATTGTGTTTCAGTACATACATATATACAGAACATACAATTAAGACTTTATACCCTCATAATTAATTGACTTGTTCTTTGAAGTAAAATTTATAGTTGAATGCCATGATTCCCAGAGCTCTGCCTAATAGATTTTTTATTATTTATTCAAGCTAGATATGAATATTATTTCATTTCTTCAGAACTTAATAGAGTATATTTTGGAAACCTGTAACATTCTTTTCTTATGTAAGGATATTGATCCTTAGTAATTCTTACTTAATTTACAGTATCCGTCTTCTTGAATTTTTATAGTAACGTGGTTTATATGTAGTTTTCTTAATTAAATCTCTGTCTTTTAGAATTTTAGTTCTTAGGTGCAAAGCTGTAAATTACCTTTTCTAAATTGTTTAAGATTACTCACTCTTTGTTCATATGGTTATGGCATATTATGAGTTGGTCTTTTTTTTCAGCTGCGATACCATTCTGTTCTGTTCCAAATGTTCTAAGAGTAATATGTGTAACATTAAAGTGTTTTAAGAAATATTAGAGGTTTACATTAGTTAAAAATTACTATCTTCCATTAGTCTCAAATTTCAGTTTATGTAGTTTTGAAAAACAGTGTATTTTGATTTGATTATTTGAGTTATCTTCTTGTCATCAGCATATGAAAGTAGTGATGTACAGAAAAATCAAGATAAATATAAGATCTTCAAGAGTATTCTTCATAATTGTCAAATAATACATACCAGATCAAAGATGTAGATGACCCTTTAATTCCGTTGTGTGTATCCTATGTTGGCTAGACTATGCTAGTATGTACAAGCTATTAAAGAGTTTTCTAGTGCCCAGCAGCCTTGAGTCTGTCTTGAGTTGTATAATAGAGAGGGCTATAACTAGTAGTTTTAATCCTCTGACCAATAAATTTCCTAAGAAAAGACAATCAAATGGAGTAGTGCATCTGTAGTTGTGCTTTTGATTGAATCTTTAAAGAAAATAACTCTAGCAACTTCCTAAATATAAGCTCAAATGCTTGATTAGTGTGAAAACAATATTTCTAAAGTATTCTTAATTTCAATTATGCAGTTAAATACAAAGGAACTGTTATAAAACAATTCAGTTTTTACTGGTTTTTTAACTTGGAATAAAGTTTTCACTTCATTCTTGGGACTTTTTGCTTTTTTTTTTTTTGCCTATAGTATAATGTTCAGAGAATGAGATTTATTAGTGCTTAAAATAACATTTCTTTCTCTTTTCAACCCGTTTTTGTTGTTGTTGTTGTTGTTGTTGTTGTTGTTGTTGTTGTTTGGTTTTTTTGGGTACTGGGGATCAAACTCATGATCTCACTGCTTGGCAGGCACTGTGCCACTGAGCTCTCTCTCCAGTCCTTAACCTTTCTTAATTATTAGTGACTTCAAAGCAGGAATAAACTAATTTGTCTTTTTAGTAGTACAGCCTAGGTCTTTAAAGGAACTGACAGCAATAAGATTAAGTTTCTCATCAATTAACTTACTTGGTTCAAAAGACTGGAAAGATGGAATTCAGATAACCAGACTTGATAAACACCTTCCATATATTGAGGTTCGTGTTGAGTTTTCAGTCTTAGAAGTAACAGCCATTTCTGTCTGGTGTGTTTTTAAATTTTCTATTCAAAGTAGGTCTTTTTGAATAAATAGCTTTACTAGAATTGTGCTTCTTACAACACATTAGAATCATCTGTAAAACTTGCAATAAAATCTGACCCTGAATTAATGGGAAGTGGATCCAGAAGATGTCCAGGATCTTCCATACTCAAGAACCCTTGGACTAGGTTTTCATTAGTATTTTTTCTTTCTTTCTTTACCTTGAACTTTCTAACTCCAGTTAAAAAACTCTTGGTGAAAAGAACAATTACTTTACATTAAACATAGCTATCAAACACTTCAATGGAAATTGCCAACGTGGTCTTTAAAAAGAATACTTTTTTTTAAAATACAATGCCAAATCCTTGCTTGGTTTTTATTATACCTGTGTGTGTGTGTGTGTGTGTGTGTGTGTGTGTGTGTGTGTGTGTGTTACATCCTCAACCCTATTTTTTATTCTTTTATTTTGAGCCATGGTCTTTCTGAGTTATTAAATTGCCAAGGCTGGGCTTGAAGTTGGAATACTGCTTTCTCAGCTTGCCTCCACCAAGAGTACTGGGATTTTAGGTTCACACTACTGTGCTTGATTCCGTTCCTTGCTGTTTATCCATCAATCATAGTTTGATGATGAATTAACATCTTTGGACCTGCTTGCTTTCTTTTAAAATTAGGAAGCAGAGCCAAGTATGATAGTATACATCTATATTCCTAGCATTCTGGAAAGTTAAGACAGAAAGATCCCAAGTTCAAGCCCAGTAGGGTTGATTTAGTGACTTGGCCAGAACTAGATTCAACATTTTTAAAATGGTGTTATAATCTCAAGAGCAAAGGCCCTATTTCAATCACCAGTACTGAAAAAAAGAGAAGAAAAAAGCCAGAATCACCATGTAATGACTTCGAATCACTTTTCTTATGCCAATGGAAATATTTTTTTTCCTAAAATTCATCAGTAATTATTTGTGTGTCACATAATACCATATGCTGTTTTTGTATATGGTATTAAATTCCTATTTAGCTTTTCAGGACCTTTACTCCAAATTGGTTTATTTAAAATTTCTGGAGTATCTGTCTCAGTGCTTTGATAAATATTAAATAAACCTTTCAACCAAATAAACCTTAAATAAACCTTTCAACCAAATTTTCACAATTCCATCATTTTTTACAATTCCATAATTAAAGTTTCTTACGTAAGCAGAAAAGTGTGCCTTGAAGAGGGGTATGATCAAGCCCACTTTTCTCAGGACACGTGATAGTGATTGGAGGGCCAGTGGCAGTGGGACAGAGCACACCAGCACTGGTTTTAGGTGACATTTGAAACCACCACTGCTGCAGACAATACCTTGAGAGCTAAAGTTTACACTCTTGAAAGGGATGTAGGGTGTAGCCTGTGAGAAATGAGAAATCAGTCCATTTCTTACAGTTCGAGGACTCCAGTAGTGATGAGGATTTTATTTCTGAAACTACCTTTAAGCAAAAAAGTGCAGAACAATACTAAAAGAGTTAAGGCAAACCAAAATCTAACTTGAAGAGTGTCCAGAACAAAGAGGAAACCCTTTATTAAAAAAAGGCTAGCCTTAGATGACAAGGTTCTCCAGAGAGGCTTAGAAGCTGCTCCAGCTGAGCAATGAAGGAATGTCCAAGTCACCAGTGGTGTGCAGAAGTAAAAGCATTGAAAATGATAGCAATAGTAAAACAGAAATAATAAGTCTCTTCATCTTACTAGTTGCAGTGTAGCTAGTAATTATTTAGATTTAGATAAGGTTACAGAGGAAAGTGATGCCATGATATTCAAGGGAAAGGAAAAGCAGTATCTAAAGCTGCAGCTCAGTAGAGGAAGATGGTCTTGGAAGGCAGTGATGATGATAATGCTGATGACACTGAGTGAAACGATGCAACGTGAAGATTCTGAGAACGATGCTGATTCTGATGAGAGTGAAGATAATGGGAAAGTCTTCACTAAGAGGAAAAAGTAAACCAAGCAAAAATGAAAGAAGTGAAATGACTGTAGTAGATTCTTCTCCATCTACAATCAAATCAGAAACTCAGTCCTCACCAAAGAGGTTTCTTTTTCTTCAGAGGGCACTAGGAAACCATTCCAAAGACAGTTCATTTAGCTGAAAACAAGAGATGAAAGTAGGTCCTACTAGCATCTAGAAATAGCAACAACAGCGGCCCACTGGCAGGCATGACCATTAAGTCCCCTAATCACTTTAGTGTCTCCCCCTTGTTATATCCAGATTAGCATGAGTTAAACCACCACATCCAAATGCCACTAGTAGCCGAGTGTAGTAACAGAAATGCTTGACTCACAGTTTTGCAAGTGTATTAATACTTGATTTACATTTATAGAAGGGGATTTATAATATAGAGGAATCCTTTATCATGTCATATAAATGACCTTTACTCATCTTAAAATTGTGTCCTCTGAAAAGCTCATCAGGACTTGTGGAAGAAGTTTGCTTATAATACTGTCTCATGCCATTCCTTCTGAAGAGCATGCTCTTGTTTTCTTATGTATCTTAAGTCATCGTCACTAAATGGTGATCAGTTTGACATAGAAAAGGTCCGTTTTGTTCTCTTCTAGTGGCGTGTTGTTCCATCTCATCTGTCTAGTTTATGACCATTATCATCTTTTTCAAGTATTTTTGAAATCCTACAAACCATTTAAATTACATTGTCAGTTTTATTTTAAGGATGTTTTATATTTTGGCCAAATCTTGTAAGAAGAGTTTGGAACTATTTTACATATTAAGATGGCTACATACTATGGAATGCATCCCCTATTTTGAAATAGGTGGTTATTGTATAGAAAATTTAATGACATTTTACAAATGCTTCTGTCTGGGGCTGGGGATTAGATCAGCGGCATAAGCGCCTGCTTTGCAGGCGCATGGTCGTGAGTTTGATCCCCAGTACTGATTACAAAAAAAATATCTACAAATTCTTCTGTCAAAGATCTTTTTTTGGTCTTTTTCCTTTTTATCGGTACCGAGGATCGAACTCACGACTGCCTGCTTGCAAGGCAGGCGCTTATGCCACTGAGCTAAATCCCCAGTCCCTCTGTCAAAGATCTTAAATAAAAGTGAGAAGATTTCAAAAGATAAAGTTCTTGACATTTTAAATGAAAGTGTGTGTGTGTGTGTGTGTGTGTGTGTGTGTGTGTGTGTGTGTGTTCTATAATACTGGGAATTGAACTCAGGGCCTTTGCACTGAATTACATCTTCAGCCCTTTATTTTATTTTTTGTTTTGAGACATAGTCCCCCTAAGTTCCTCGATTGTCCAGGCTGAGCTCAAATTTGGTGTTCTTTTGCTTTAGTTCTTCTGAGTGCTGAAATTATAGACATACATCATAGTATTCATTTACTATGCTCTTGTGAAAGTAAGATCCTACTATAACATTAGAATGAGAAAGTGCTAAGTTACAGGTTATTGTTAGGTCTTTATAATCTGTAAGATATTAATGAGATATACTGGATATGGTAGGTAGTTCTGATATTTTCAGTTGAAGTTCTTTGATGCCTTTTGCTAGTGTTTTCAGATATACTTTATTTTTTTTTTAATTTTTGTTTTTTGAGACAAAGTCTTGCCATGTAGCGCAGGCTGTCCTCAAACTCGCAGGTATTCTCCTGTCTCAGCCTCCCAAATACTGCAATTACAGCACATGCCATCATGCCTGGCGTGTTTTCAAATTCAAAAGTGCTCATTTTTATAATTATTCAGAGTTCTCATTTTATATATATGTCAGAAAACTAAGATGATGTTCTTAAATTTTTTATAGCAGAACATTAATATAGTTATGAAACTTAATAGTTTATATTGTAAGGTAAAGTAGTGTTGGTGCATGGTTGAATAATTAGATTTATAGATTTTTGTATATAATCATTTTAGTGAATTCTAGTTTTTCTTCAAGACTGAAACTATATTTATTCAATACAAAGTCTGCCTGGATTTAATATTCTCAGACTTTTGAATCTGTCTCCTAATCTTCCCTTTTAACTTATTCTTCCAACACTTATTTAAATATTTATTTAAATATTTATTAAATATTTATTTAGCTGAGTGACATTAAAATCATTCATGTCATTTTAAGTACTTGAGTTCTGTAAGAGAAATCTTATATATCTCTTATCCAACCTTATATATCAAATATATATATCAAATCTTATATATCCATTGTCAACTATACATGTATTTCTAAAGGTTAAAGAAGTCCTATGAAGCCCATTTGTTACAATGTAGTTGAGATTATCAAACATCTTTGAAGCAGACACTGTAATTAATAGATGGACTCTTTAATACAGTACAGAACTTACCCAAGAATAACTTCCACTTTTAGTACAAGACTATCCTCTCTGTTAAATAATGTACCCCTTCTCTTACAGTAAATTCATAATTATTTTAATTCTGCCTCATTGCTATTTTTAGGGTTACTTGGTAAAGAATAGTATTAGTATAATTGCTACTACTTGTTTGAAACTTTATTATCTGACTATAAGTTGTTTCTTTATAAGCTATCATTTATTGGAGTTCTTTTCTGTGATATAATTTTTTTTGCCTGCTCATACTGGAAGTTGGATTTGAGGTGGCTATGTATTCTGTTATAGGCAAAGAAAATACCTTGTTGCATAAGAAAACCAGATGTCACTTCAGAAATTTTGGTTAATTCAAATGGCAAAAACCTATGACTATAACGATTCCTTGGTATAAAGAACGATCTTTTGAAATCACTACTTATTTTTCTAATATGGAAAAATACAATTTTTAGTTTTTTAAGATGATAAAAATTGAAATAATTATCTGTATATATTTGCAGAAATATCTTCTAAACTTACTGGAATAAAGCACAGTGATTCATCTCCTAATGAGAATATAAAGGTAATTATTATTATCTTATAATCTGAGCGACTACTTTGAGGATAACAATATGCAATAAATTAACTACTATTAATCAATTATTCAGAAAGTATCATTTTTAGTGCTTTTCTCTTTAAAGTAAAATTTTTTAAAACAGCATGTATATTAGAACTTACTTGTGTATTAGCTTTCTTTAAAATTATTTCTTTCTATAAAAAATGATTTCTTCCTAAAAATTATTTAGATAAAGTAATTGATTTTATTTTCCAATAAGATGTGTTATATCAGTCAAACAGATGAGTAGAACCCATTTTAGGAGCTTCCACTTCTGGATACAAAGGAAGTGCCTGATGTGCCTGATACCTAGTGGGCACACAGTAGGATGTGCAGTACTATGTACACAGTAGAAATTGCTCAATAACAGGTCGTAACCAAAAGGTAGTTAGGGTTTCTATAGATAAAATTTGTAATTTCCAACTATCAATTTTAGCACTTCTATGTTTGATTAATAGTTAATTGAGAAAAATAATTTTTTACTAGTTCAAATTGTTAATCCTCATAAAATTTTAAGCCTGTGTAGCCATCTGCAATACAGAATTGCAGTAAATTTATATAGCATCTAGCTAGGTTAGAGAAATACAACAGTAAATAACAATCATGAAGAATTATAAGTTGTAAAAAGGAAAGTAATTATTTTGGGTGGGGGAGTAGGTACCAAGAATCAAATTCATGACCTTGTGCATGCCAGGCAGGCACTTGTGCCCCTGAGCTATATCCTCAGTCCCTATGGAAAGTAATTATTTTTAAGAAAATGAAGGGATGTATACTACTTTCACTAAGGAGGTAATACTTAATAAGAGTTTTAAATTATTAATATATTTATATAGAGTTAGGGACTTCTTAAACCAAAGCAATAGCATGAAGAGAGGCAAGGCACAGCAGTACATGCTGTGGTATCTTAGGGTATTTATAAGGAATTTAATGACTTGAGGGATGAGGTAGAGGTTTTGAACTCTCAACTGAAGTATTGGAATATTTAACATGATAGGCAAGAGTGAGCTCTCGAGTTGTTTGTAAAATTAAGGTGGTCCATCTTGCAGTAGGTATTAGTACAATCAAAACATTATGTCAAGTTAAGAATGAGTTCTGGAAGCATTCTCGATTAAGCCTGTAGAATGCCACTTTATAAACTATTTTGGTCAGGTTTTTTTGTTTAACTTTTTAGTTTCATTCTTCAAGGACTAAAATACCCATCTATGATAAAGGAGAGTATATTACTCATGTTTATGAATGAATGGATATATTTGTGTATTTCATAGTGATTATTCACTAATTGAACCTTACACAGTGATATAACCATAATAATTATGGTGAACTTTTTAGAAATCAAGTGCCCAAACTACAACCAAATACCCACTTATTTATCACAAAGTCCCAGCACTACAATTAAACTTGAATACTGAGGTTTTAAAAAAAATACATTTGGCTCACATCCCAACAGAGAGGGCTACATATGCCATAAGTTTGCCACCACTGTCTTATAAGATACATAGAGGGATAATAGTGTGACTTAGGTAGTACAGTATTCAGAAGATATCATTAAATTATATTCTTGCCTCTTGTGTATCTCCTCTTTTAATTAATGCTTCTTGTTTGGCTAAAACTCTGAAACATAACTTTAACTTCATCTTACCAGATTCAGTCTTCCATGCAAGACAAGCCCTCTGCTAAAACTGCCTCTGTTCACCAGACTGCACATTTATGTGGAATGCCACTGAATCACAAGTTAGCATTCAGTCCTCAAGAATCAGAAAGTGTACAGACTATAAAAAATATACCTGTACAAATGCAACTTCCTTCAGGTAAGAAATTGATAAATAACTATTAAGAAATTTCTAAACCTATATATAAGATTGCTAAGGCTATCACATATCTTAGAAATACTGAAAATTCTAACAGTAAATTCCAGGTTGAAAATCATAAAGCATGTTATTAGAAACTTACTGCTTGATACCATAGACCAGTGTTGGTGAATCTACAGGATACATGCTGCAATATCATTGAAAGCTCTAAAACATGTGTAACATTGTTGTAGGCATTCATTACATTTAAAAGAATATTCTCCCTGCATAGTTTCCACTCAGTTTATTTTCATATACTAATGTATAATTACATATTGGCACATGGAGTATGTAGAAAAGCCTATTCCTGCCCAAGTATATACAACCAAGTTCTTAGCAGTCTCAGGAAATGCTGCTATAACATCTCTGAGTTAAAAAGGTAGGGTGCAGCCAATAAAAAGTACTTAGAATTTCTGTAAATAAGTGAACTTATCTATATAAGAAGTATTTTACTGTAAAGAAACATAGGCTAGAAATAATTGCCTCATGGTGGTTTCTGTTTAATCAAAACATCTCCCAAAACTGTCTAAATTTGTATATTGTTAGACTCACTTGGTTTTATAGTAGATATCATGTCTGTTTATCTTGTCTGAAGTGACACTGTTATCAGTCTCAATTTAGAATCTTGATATTTCAGGGGGTGGGAGTTGGATGTGGAGCACAGAGGCTACTCCTGTGATATCAATGACCCGAGCCTATAGAGTGCCTGAGCTCGGAGACACTAATATATTTACACATAGACCAGAGGCAGTCCACAAACAAAATATAAACACCAAAAGAAAAAAGAAAAAAATGTCCTAAGGCCATACAGGAGGTTATTCCAGGAAAAATAAACCTCCAAAATATGAAATGTTTATGTCCATCCTTTTCTGGAAATAAATTTTTAATGTACTTCATAGAAGAGCACGCATGTATGGTAGTTCTTAGTAAGCAGTACTACAGTTACATAATTTATTTTGTATGCAACACCAAACTTTGAACAGGAATATGGATTTTAGGGGCTATGATATGAGGACCCTGGTTCAGTCCACAGCATCATGGAACAAAGAAGATTTTATTAGAATGAGATTGCCATTAACTTTCTAGAGGCTGACTACGATGAGGATACACTGAGATAATTATTATGTTATGATGCTGTTGTCTAGGAAATAAATTATTACAACCAAACCAAATATAGTGAGCATAGAAGGCTGTAATTAGGAAAGGTTTTTTTTTTTTCAGGTACTGAAGATTGAACCTAGAAGTTTCTTATTGAACTACTTTCAATGGCTCTTTTTATTTTTTATTTTTGTTATTTTGAGACAAACTGCTAAGTTGTCCAGGCTGGACTTGAACTTGAGATCCTCCTGCCTCAATCTCCCAGAGTTCTGGAGTTACAATTATGACCATATCTGGCAAAGATAATTTTTGTGGAGAATTAATAAAATAAGCAACATGTTAGAAAATTATTTAAGAGTTGGGAAAATAAAAGGCAAAGCTCATTTGGGACATTTGTGAGCTGCTGAAGAATATTTAACTGGAAATGTGAAAAACAGAAATGGGTTTCTCGAGCTAACAGGGAATAACCAGAAATATAATTTAGGAACTTCCAATAGATAAAAACTTATTGAAACCATAAAAATGAATGAAAACACCATAAAAATACTCAGACTAGGAAAAAGCTGAGGACAGAATTCTAGGAACAAAACCTCACTAACTGTAGAGGAAATTAGTAGGTTTAAAAAGGGCCAGGTATTTAGCTCAGTTAGAGTGCTTGCCTAGCATGCACAAGGCCCACCACCCCAAAAGAGTAAACTAGGTGCAGTAGTATGTTTCTATAATCCCAACTACTCTGGAGGCTGAAGCAGGAGGATTGCGTGCGCCCAGAAGTTTGAGGCAGTCTTGGCCACATAGCAACATAACAAGGCCCTGCCTCAAAAATAAAAATGAGATATTCAGAAATTAGAAGGAAAAGGAAAACTGGTACAATAGAAGAATATCACATACTAAAGAGCATTTAAGCAGGATAAAGAAATGTGAAGAGGATTAAAATTGGCAGTATGAGAAGGTTTGCTTTTGCAGAAGTTTTTGTTTTTCCTTCAGTACTGGGGATTGAACCTATGGCCTGTATATTCAGCTACATACACAACCCTTTTTGTACTTTTTAATCTGAATTGCCGAAGCTGGGCTCAAACTTGTGATTTTCCTGTCTCAGCCACCCATAGTGCTGGGCTTACAGGTGTGTGCCACCACACCTGGCTGCACAAGCAAAGTAGTCATTGTGTTTGGTGCAGGTTGCTGTACTCCGAGAAGTAATGGAATCTAGGTGTAGTGAGCACTGTATACAGCAGTCTTTGAACAAGTTTGTGGAAGAGGATAAGAAAATACTGGGACTTTGACAAGTCTAATTTTAGAGCAGCAGAAGAGGTTTATGTTTATGAGTATTTGAACTGGAGAGCTTTGAATGTTTAAAGGTTAGTTAGAAAAAAAACAGTAGTGAAAATTAGTCTTTTCACTAGAATATGTTTATGAAAGAATGATAAATAGCCTTGCCTTTGAAAAGGAATAGAAACAATGAAAAACAATATTAAGAATGCAAGTAAGATATTTTTATTTCTGTTTTAAGAAAACACGCCATCTATGAAAAAACAGGATTTTAATACTTGAATCTTCAGTAAGGATTAGACTGTTATATCATCTCAGATTATGTTTCTATGATGCCTGTGCGTAGTATACTATTCTGTAAAGGAAGTTTGGATGATGCTAGAATTGACTGTTCATTCTATTGTAATATTTGTCAAGTGTAAGTGGCGATATGTCTAAAGGGTGGCAAATAAATATAAACTGTAAAAAGCATACAGACATTTATTTTTCTGTAGTTGAATCTCAATGGAAATAATTTTCTAAAATCTTACCCTAGATTTAAATAATTATGGTACTAAATTTTTATGCTGAAGTTTTCTTATTTTTGGAAAAATAGTTTGACAAAGTTTTCTTTATCCTCTACCCTTGTATCTTCATCTCCAAGTAGCGCTATATTGGCCTACTGTTTCTAGAGTTACTGGTGGGAGGAATAGAATTGTGATTGGGTTGGCCTAATCAAAACCCTACTCTTGAGCTGAAGACAGTCTACAGATTAAATAGCTCTACAGCATCGGGATTGATAAGATGGGTTTTGGCAGGTCATCCATAACATCAGCTATGCTTCATGCTGATCAAAACAAAAATAATAACGAAAAGAAAATAAAAGAGATCACTTTCAAGTGAAACATGTTTAACGTATAAGCACCCAACAAAAAATACTTCAATGCTAAGATGCATCAACAGTTATTTTATTTTGATAGTGTTTAACTACAAGGGAAAAAATCAAATTCTGGATAAGTACAATGAAATATATTAACTATACCATTCTAAAAACTTGTACTTCTAGGTGATTCCAAGCAACTCTCCAATGGCCCAACTGTGATGTGTCCATCTGTTAATAATGATACAGTGGTGTTAGAATCTGAACATCAGGTTCCTGTGCAGAAGGTAAAAGTAATATTTTTTTCTTAGAAATGTGAAGGGAATTAAAATTATGATTGGGGCAAGAAATGTTTTTGGATATCTAGCTCTCATTTTTGCTTATGTAATTTTAAAAAATTAGTATCCCCTACCACTGTCATGCTTATGTTTAATTGCAGATTCTGTATTAGTATTTATTCTTTCTCCCTCCCTTCCTCTCTTTCTCTCCCTCCCTCTGTCTTTCTCTCACTGTATATGTGTATCTGTTTTCAGATCCAGAGCTTTGTACCTGCTAAACACATGCTCTACCATTAAATCTGTGTTTCCTAACCCTTTGCCTCAATTTTAAAGCATGATATAAAAACTACCTTGTACAGTTGATTGTAGGGCATTTTCTAATGGAGTTTTGTGTGCACTTAATCTTCAAGCCACACATTAACATCATTCTTTAAACAAATATGTCAGATACTGAATGTGCCAAATATTATTGTAAGTATTTAAGTTTTAAATTATCAGGAACTAGGAAGAGGAAATTTATATTCTCTCTCTTCCCCTCATTCTCTCCCCTACTTTCTCCCTCTCCGTCCCTCTTTCTATACCTTCCTCTTTACCCTCCCTCTCCTCTCTCCTTTGCCTTCTTTATGTCTTCCTTCTCTCTCTTTTTACATGCAAGTATTTCAGGGGACAGATCTTGGTCTTAATGTTTGAGATTATTGTTTGGCTGTACATATAAAGTGAAGTATTTTACCCCACAGAACATAATGATTCGGCTCTTGTGTGTAGTATCTTTGATTTCTTACATAGTGCTTCACTAATAGTTATCATTCAAGACTATGTTTAATTTAGATGTTCTGTTATTGCCAAGTATGGATTAAAAATTCCTTTACTGTTAACCATCATTAATTTTATGCTTTATTGGTTTTTGTTTTAACTGAAAGACTGTTGTATAGCCCCTGTATGTCAGAAAGAATAAGTACTATAGAGTTTCTTTAATCAAACATTTTGTTTCCTAAGTACTATAATTTTTATTATATGATTGAACAAAACTTAGTAAATTTTGCTCAAAATAAAGTTGGAAAAAAAATAAAGAAATTTCCAAAAAAGTAAGAATCACAGCAGAAATAAACAGTAGAATATCAAGTACCTATTTATGTCATACCGTCAAAACTTAGGCTGCAGGTGAAATGATGCATCAACTTTATTTTATTCCCAGTGCCTGGCACACAGTAAAAACTGAAATGTTGGGACAAATGCTTAAGAAAAAATGGGAATGTATGGTTTGTTGCTTCACAAGAGATGGTCTAGTGCATTGTTTCTGTTGACATCATTTTCCATGCTTGAACCCTCACTATCAGCATCTTCGTATTTTTTTTTTCCCAAGCTAGGAGGGTATAACAAGCATCTTTTTTTTTTTTTTTTTTTTTTTTTTTGGTCTTTTTCGTTTTTATCGGTACCGGGGATCGAACTCACGACTGCCTGCTTGCAAGGCAGGCGCTTATGCCGCTGAGCTAAACCCCCAGCCCCCTATAACAAGCATCTTAAAAAAAAAAAAAAGAAACTATTATAACTTTGGACTTAAAAATATCTCAAATACAACGTGAAAGTAATAAACTTAAAAGAAAATAATAAATGAGACTATATTAAATTAACAATAGTATTTATCAACTAACACCAATAAAAGAGTAAAAGACATTGATAAGACACATGTGAAATAATGTTTTCAACTCAGGTTATTGACAAAACATGTAATGTAGTATGTACTTAGGATACCCACAAGTGAGTAAGAGAAAAAGATCACAAAAACTAGGCAAAATATTTTAACAGTACTTTACATAAGAAGATATTTAAGTCAGTATCAGTCCATGACAATATGTTCAAAATAATTGGTAGTCAGGAAAATACACATTAAAACCACAATGAATTCCATGAAACATCTAACATACAGAGCAGTCTTGGCACTCATAAAGGTGCTGCCGCCCCCAGTTTTGTCATTCTTCTCTTATTTACTTCTGCCTTAGGGAAAGATAATTCTTTGCCAAAACTAACCCTTTCATCTCTATTCTTTCAACAGATTTATTCTGGAGCTCTCCTGCCATCTTTATAGCCTCAATTATTCCTTTTTGTCCTATTTTCCTACTACCTGTTCACATCTAAAACTGCAGTTTATCAACCATAGTGCTGTTAACTTGTTAGCCTGGGTAAATCTTTATTAGGGGTAAGTTTGCATGTTATAGGATACTTAACAGGAACCCACACCTCTATATGCTGATTCCAGAAGTGCCCTTTTTCCTACCACTCTGTGATAACCAAAAGTGTATGCTGATGTCACCAAATGTTTACACTGGTGGAAAGCAGTAGCAAAATCATCCCAGCTGAGATCAAGTTTCTTAACTTTACCTAGCATCTAACCACTCCCCTGTTCCTGTGGATTACCCTCTAAGGGTTTTCTACTACATGTTTATTTTTGGACATCTACCATACCAGTTTCAGTATGTGGTCTCTATGCAGATGACTCAAATATATATTGTTAGACCTGACCTCTTATAAGTTTTATCATTTGGAACAAACTTCTTGATCCCCAATGCCTAATAAGTCACTAAATTCTTTGGCTTTTACTTCTAAAGATAACTTCTTTTCTTTTTCACATTGCAACCAGCCTTTTTGTTGCTTGAGTACTTACCCTGTTTTTATTTTGCCTCTGACTTAGTAACATTTAGTAAAAAGTCCATTAAATCCCTTGAAATCTTAATTTGATCTTTTACTGGATCAAGAGATATTGTCTTCCCTCTAAAATTTGGCTGACACAGATTGAATCAAATATTTCTTTTAGGATATAAAGATTAAGAATGTGGACTCTTGGAAAAGTCTAGGCAAACCGGTGAAAACATCAGGCACTCTGAAATCTTCAGATCAGCTCTTTAACCAATTTCGAAAAGTGGCAATAGAAAAAGAAGTGAAAGCTCGAACACAAGAATTAATAAGGAAACATCTGGAGCAAAATGCAAAGGAACCAAAAGTGTCTCAAGAAAATCAAAGGTCTGTAAGTTACTGGATTAATCATTTAATGGTTTACCCAGAGAATCACTTTTACCTGCTATCTCAAGCGTTGCTCAGGCAGGTGTCATTTCAACCAGTCATTTCTTGTATTGAATAGACTTGATAAAATTGTTGTTTTTATATTCCCTGCTACCTTATAAAAGTTAACAGAACAATATGCAGGTTTTGGTCATCCTATATTTAAATAATTAGACTGTTAAGTGGTTAAGGGAGGCATTGAAAGGTATAGGAATGTATTTTAAATACATTCCTATATAACAGTAAAACAGAACAAACTGTAATTTTAAAAGTACATTTTATTGATTTTTCTCTGAACATGAGTATCTACTGTGTTTTAAAGAACACATAAAGATAATGGTTAAGGACCAGGAATGTAGCCCAGTGGTGCAGTACCTGCCTGGCAAGCACAAGTTCCTGAGTTTGATTCTCAGTACACACACAACACACACACACACACACACACACACACACACACACACACACACATACACAAACACACACACACAAACACACACACACACAAACACACACACACACACACAGAAGTGCTTAAGCTAAAAGAAATACAAATGCTGCCTTATTATAAAGACACTGTTTTCCAGAAATGTGTTAAAAGTTTTCTCATTCTGTATCTGAGAATGATATACATTGGTCACTGCTTTCCAAAATTTTTGTTGTTGTCTTTAATTTAGATTATCCTATATAAAATTTGACATATCAAAAATAAAATTTAAAAATGATGTCATAGTATAGAAAACTGATATCTAGTATATGCCTTTATATTTACTTAGTAATGTATCTTTATAATAAAAACTTGTAAAAAACTTAAAACCTACTTTGAGCTTTGCTGTTTCTTTAAGGGACCTTGGAAACAGATTTACTCTAGAATTTCTTTCAAACCAACTGCAAAACAAATGCCTTGGAGAAAAGCAAAAAGAATATCAGCAGCCACTAGAAGAAGCTCAAGATAAACGCAAGCTCTGGCTTCTCAAAGACCGAAATTTAGCAAGGGAGAAAGAGCAAGAGAGGAGGAGGAGAGAAGCAGTAAGTGACGTTTAGCTTAACAAAAAGAATGGTTTAACAGAGCGCTGTCTTTTATAGGTTCTAAGATACATTCAGGGTAGTTTTCAGAGACATTGCAGTTCTTTGATGAGTGTCAGGATCTAAAATCAGAGCGTAAGATGGTAAAGAAGCAAGGGTAATTATAGAGTATTGATATTGCAGCTGCTAGAGTGATGGTTTGGATTAAAAACCTGAGTTCTGTTATTTATTGGACTTTAGGGCTTTGGCAGTTTAATCACTGACTCAGCTTGGTCACTTAGGAAGAGGAAATCATAATACTTGTTTTGAAGATGAAATTAACATGCATGAAGCACGTAGGAAAATGCCTGGCACTTAAGTGAAATGATTTACCACGTTATTACATAAAAAATCTGTAAATCATCTATGAATTATAGTCAGTGCTGGTTCCAGACCAGCATTTCTTTGAATGGTAGTTTAAGAAATTGCCTTGATTTGAGAATCCTTATATATAGAAGATATTTTTAAAAATGGATTGCTTCCATGTATCCATGGAGTGTTTTAGAAGTATTGACTTTTCAAATGTTTGGTAATCTTATGCTTAGTGATTTCTGTTAATGATTTCTAATTTAATTTTCTTATGGTAAAAGAATAGTGTCTAATTGGAATTCTTTAATATGTTGAGACTTGTTTTGTGGCTCATTTTACGGTCTAGCTTGGTAAATATTCTGCTGTTATATAGGTTAGGTTGGTTGGGAACAAGTCCTTACTAATTTTCTGCTATTTTTCCATCAGTTATTGTGAAAACAGCTTTGATATCCATAATTATATAACTTTAGGTTTGTATTTTTATTCTTAGAATTCTATTAATTTTATTTTATGCATTTCTAGGCTGTTATTAGGTAGCTAAACACTGAGGATTATTATATTCTCATGTTCTCCATTATTTCCTCTTTTTCATAATGAAATGATTTCGTATCTGGCAATACTGTTTACTTTGAAATTTATTATACGCCCTTTACCTTTTTAATGACTAGTGTTGGCATGATGAAATGCTATTTCTTAAAATGTTTCAAATAAGACAAATTGTTAAAAATATATTTATTTGCAAAGTTGGACGTAGTGGCACACTTCTGTAATCCCAGTGCTTGGGAGGCTGAAGCAGAATTGTTTGCAAGTTCAAGACCAACCTGGGCTACAAAGTGAGCTCAAGGCCAGCCTGAACTGAGACCCTGTCTCAAAAAGACAAAAATAAATAAATAAATAAATAAGATAAAATATATTTATTTGCATGGTTAACATTTCCAGTGTTATTTTTTTCTTTCGGTACTGGGCACTTCTCACATACTGCTATGCAAGCATTCTACCATTAAGCTACACCTCTGGTCCTTTTTAGTTATTTATATTTTATTGTGACATAGGGTCTCATAGATCAGTCATTATTGTTCCTTGCCTTAAAAGTCCCCTGTGCTCCTTCTGTTAATCTCTTCCTCCTGAAACCCTGGCAACCACTGATTTTTCCAGTCTCCATAATGTGAAGTAGTTGTAATAATACAGTATGTAACCTTTTCACTTGGTTTTCTTTCACTTCACATCCATCTAAAGCTCTTCTGTGTCTGCTCGGCAGAGGGGTATGCACTTATAATCCTGTAAGTCTGAGAGAGGAGGATTGCAAGTTCAAGGCCAGCATGGGCAATTTAGCAAGACGGTGTCCCAAAATAAAAAGGCTCAAGGATACAGTTTAGCAGTCCCTGGGTATAATCTCCAGGACTGCAGGAAAAAAAAGGGGGGGGAGGGGACTGGGGATTTAGCTAAGCAGCATAAAGCACCTGCCTTGCAAGCAGGCAGTCGTGAGTTTGATCCCTGGTATCAATAAAAAGGAAAAAGACAAAAAAAAAAAAAGTGTCTTTTTTGTGGAGTGAGAATTCATTTTAAAAACTTGGTTTTTGCTCTTGCCAGGCACTTATAAAATACATTTTTTTTCAATAAAGAATCATTGACATTTTTGGTGTATAGCATGATGTACAACAAAATCCTTAAATAGGAAGAATTTTATTACATTTATTTGAATTTTACAGCATGTATACTTACAGAATACCATGTGATATTTACAGTAGGCTTATATTTGCAACTCTCACATTGCAGTCTTAAAATAAGAACTATGAGAGCTATTTAGCTCGACATTTGACATACTACCAGCTAAGCATTAGGAAAGTAGCTTGGTTTAGGACTTAAGAAGTATCTTTTTGCCTTTAAGATAAATTTTAATTTATCTTAAATAATGAGTCACACGTACCCGAAAAGATATAAATTATAGTAGGTAGATCATAATTCTAAATTTCATCCTACACAGCTAATGAAAATAACAGTGCCAATCATTTGTAAACTGGTGTTTTTACCTATCACTCTGCTTTGATAGAACCTACTGTTGTTCATTTAAAAACCATTTTTGTTTTAATATTTGATGTCATTTCATTTGGTAGGGATTATTTAACTTGTATAACAAAAAGGTACAATGTAACTTCAGGATAAGTAAACATGTTTGATCATAGCTTTTTCTTTCCTTAAGTTTATTTTAGTATTTAATAACTTTGTATTTAAAATCTCTTTAGTTTTTAATGAAGTATTTGTTTTGAATGTCGTACATGTAATTTGATTCTATTTTCATAAATGCCAATAAATAGGATAGACTTAGTTAAGGCCAGGGATTTAGCTCAGTGGCCTAAGCGCCTGCCTGGCAAGCATGAGTTTGATCCCCGGCACCAAAAAAAAAAATAAGGATAGACTTAGCTAAATAATTGGCCCTAGGTTCTACAGGTGAGAAGTGGCAGAATCAAGGAAAGCCCATAGCTTTGACATCACATCAATTCTTTTATGTAAAGAAAATATTGCTTCATTCAGAAAATAATTTTATGTGTCTAACACTGTGTTGATACAGAAATAAAAAAACATTGTGTTCTCTCAATTAATATTCTTATGATGTGGGCTAGGGATTTAGCTTAGCGGTATAAGTGCCTGCCTGGCAAGTGCAAGGTCGTGAGTTTGATCCCTCGGACCAAAAGAAAAAAATGAATAAATAAAAATAAAAATATTCTTATTAATACCTACTCTGTCAGTATTCAGTTTCCTAAGAAATTGGCCATACTTATTTCTCATATTTCTATAGATTTTAATTTTATCTAGCTCATGAACAATATGTTAACAAAAAAACAGGCTGTATTTTAACAAATCAAAAATAATCCATTTTATTAAATTGTTTGCATTTTGTATAGTCAATTTCCATGTTTTATAATCATTTTTATATGGCTGTAATAGAGATATGTATTTTTAAAGTAATTAAAATGTTCTTTTTTTTACAGATGGCGGGTACCATCGATATGACTCTTCAAAGCGACATTATGACAATGTTTGAAAACAACTTTGATTGAAACTAAGCTTTTAAATTAACCATCATCTTTAAATGAGTGATATGAAAGATTAAAATGCATATGGTAAAATGATTGCTTTCAAAACTGAAGATACCAATTTCATGTTGTATTTTGACTCTCTAAAATGATTAAACAATTTCACTTACATTTTTAAATAACTATACGTTTATTTTTAAGGACAGTATTGGAAATTTTATGATTTGGATCCCTAAAAACTGAATAGATTCCATGTGTTATTCATTCTACAAATAATTGTCAGCAATGTATTATATACCTTGTTTAAGCAATGAAAATCCAATAGAGATGCTCCCTGATTGTTTAAAAAATGACTATATAAAAATATATAAAAAACATGGTTCCTGTTGAGTTTTTAACTTTTAAAACAAATATTTGTCTGCCTTCAGAAATACTTAGAGCTTCTAACAAATAACATGTGGTTTCCTCAAGCGTCAGATATTTAAGATTCTCTGCTGGTCGATATTCAAGTTTTATATTGATATTTGAAGAAACTTTACCTGTGGTTTGAAAGATGTTGAATTTAGCCAAGTGTGGTGGTGCCTAGCGGTATAAGTGCCTGCATGTAAGAGGCTGAGACAGGAATATCACTGCAATTTTTAGGCCAGCCTGAGCTACACAGTGAGTTCCAGCCCACTCTGAACAACATAGTGAGACCATGTCTCCAAAAAAAAAAAAAAAAGAACGAGAAGAAAACAAAAGATGTTTAATTTGAAGCCAAATACCAGTAAATATTAATTATGTGTACAAGTTTTGATAAGAATGTATAATTCTTCATATGTATATGTGATAACGATGTTTAATTTTACTTAACTCTAGTAGTACTCTGTAAAATACTTTGTTTTGTCATTTTTCTAGTTGCAATTTTGTATAAATCATGTATATTAGCTTTGTATATTTTAAAATTTTGAACTCTTGACTGTAAAATAATTCAGGCACTATTTTGATAAAAATTTGAAGTATGTATTTTAGAGGAGTAAGTTTTCTTGCACTCATTTTTATAATGATAAATTTTTGAAATATATTTAGATTGTTAGCCAATTAAAAATATGATTAACTGATAAAAGTAGTGGTGTTACCTTCATACAATGGCTAGAAGCATTAGCTCTTCCTATCAGCTGTATCTATTTTTAATCAAGAAATCAGCAGGTGTGCTCAACAGTATATTTTATGTTATTTCCTTAAAAACTATAGGGAACTATGTTATGACTATTGTGTTTAGTTTAACCAACGTGGCAGTTTATCAGATTTCCTCAATTTTGATAGGTTAATTGAAGTCAGTTTAGTGGAGAACAATACTGATTTGCAACTGATCCTTCCTATAGAAATTCAGTGTCTAAAAAAATTCCCTGCTTTAAATTTTTCACCATCCATAGTCATTTACCCATTTACCTTTCTTTGTTCATTTCTTTTTCCCATAGTTGTCTCTCCTGTGGATGCCTCTGTGCTATTAGACTCTTAATTAGCAAAATCAGCCTTTACTGTTGCCAGTTTCTAAAACCTTCCCTTCGTCTCCATTTCAAACACCCAGCTTATTCTGAATAGTCCTTACTCCAACAATCTTTAGGCTTCCCTAGGACATACAATCCATCAATTCTTTTCACAGTGCTTCTCATACTGGGGTTATAGCTCAGTGGTAGAGCGTGTACTTAGCTTGTGCAAGGCCCTGAGCTCAATTCTTATTTAAAAAAAAAACAACAGTATTTTTCCCTTTCATGCCTGAGCTTCTGTATTTATCCTCTAAATTTATAGTGTGTTATAATCACTCCTTTGCATGCCCTCTTAACTCCTTTGTTCCTTTCTATGTTGCATTCCTCTTAGCCAAATTCAAATCCTTATAAAATCTGACCACTGGCTCTGACCCATTTAGCTGATGTGAAAGATATGCAACCATAACCATTCTCATTTTAAATTTCTGAGCATAAACTCAAATGAGCTTTAATGTTGTCCAGAAATCTTAGTAAGTTGTCATGATTCACTCACTCTCCCTAGACAGTCAGGTATTTCATATTTCCATTCTACTTCTGACCTCCAACCAAAACAGTCTACCTCAGTCTGTGGTACCTTTCACGTACTGCTTTTTCACTGAGGTAAGAAGGCATTCATTGAGAATTTCGAATTTCCCACTCCACATCTGTTCATAGGTTCTGTTCTCCCTTCTGTCATTAAGGAGGAACTGTTCCCACCCTAAGTTATGGCAAGTCTTTCAACAGTTCCTTCTCACTTTCCCAAGGACATTGCTCCAGCAATTGTGATTTCCATCATCAGTGTTATCTCCTGTAGATAATTATCAGCATACAAATTGTTTTTTCTGAAAGCTCAATTATAGAATTTGTCATTTCCTCCTTTATGTTAGTTCTGCACATCCTTGGCTCATTCTTTTTTTTTCTTATAGTAATTTTAAAATTAAGACAAAAATCACCCTTTTAAAAAGAATTAAAGCTGGGCATAGTGGCACATGCTTGGAATCCCAGTACTTGAGAGGCTGAGACAGGAGGATCATTGCAAGTTTGAGACCAGCTTGAACTGCACAGTGAGACCCTGTCTTAAAAACACCCAAAAAAATTAAAATAAAGTGAATTAAGACAAAATTCACCCTTTTAAAGAGTACAACTGCTGGGCATGGTGGTACATACCTATAATCCCAGCACTCAGGAAGCTGAGGCAGGAGGCTCGTGGCAAGTTCAAGACCAGCCTGGGCTACAAAGTAAGCTCAAGGCCAGCCTGAACTGCATATTGAGACCTTGTCTCAGAAAGAAAAAAAAAGCACAATTTATTGATTTTTAGTAAGGTCATTGAATCTATTTATAAAATAGAGAGAATCTATTTATAAAATTTTTCATAATTCTTTATAATGGATCAGCAATTTGTATTACAAATATTATCCATGTCTATTTAAACATTTGTATATAATTGTGTAGAAAACAATAGAAGCAATTTAGCAGGTCAAAAATCGTAATTCATATATGAATATTATATTTAATTTTATAATGTACTTAATTGCAAACCTTTTAGATAGAATTTAAGTATGAAACTTAGAGGCATTAAGAAAGTTTCCCTCTACCCCAATTATAGAGAGAGCAAGACTTGTATATACAATTATACCTTTATGCTCATCCAAATACAGAAAATTTGAGGGACTTAGTTTTACAAAAATATGGCCATCTATACATTTTATTTAATGTGTCACAAACATCTAATCAGATCATTACATGACTATCTAATTTTTTAAAAGGTGTACATAATTAAGTCATATAGCTGCATAATGCTTATATAAAAAATCCTGTTGACTTAGTTTCTTATCACCTTTTTCTACTATGAATAGTGCTGAAGTCAGTTAATACAGCTTTATGCCTTTGTCCTTTTGTTTCTAAATGATAATTCAGGCTCCTAAAATGAGATCTGTGTGTCAGAAAGTTTAGTTCAAGGAAATAGTTTCAATTTTAATAGACTCTACAAGATAAAGTGTGCCCCAAAGTTTTTGTTTCTTTCATTGCATGACCACAAAATTAAGTTGATCACCTTATATTTGTTTGCCATGTGAGTTGTCTGATCATTCTTTTTAGACTTTTTCTTATCAACCTGTACAGTTTTTTCTTTTGACTTTTTATGTTGGCCCTTTGTTTTGGAAACATATTTTCCCATATATTATTTGTCTTTGAGGCTGTCTTTTTTCCCATTAAAATTTTAAATTTTATGTATCTGGCTTTTTCTTTATGGTATTTAAATATTTTGCCCCAACACATCAAGTTGATAAAAATACTCTTACATCTTTTTGTGCTTAAAATCCAGATGTAATTTTTACACTAGAATTTCAGATGTATTAAAAATATTTTTAATCTACGGTTATGAGGTTGCAGGATTTTCTTTCCTTTTAAACAAATTATCAGCTATGCTACCATAATTTTTTTACTGAATGTCTGAATTACATAAAAATTACTGATAAAAATTTATAGTTCATAAAATTTGAGTGACTTTGAAGCAGTCCTGCCATTCCAGTTGCTTACTGCTCTCTTCCCGACTAATTCCAGGATGAAATCCCAGCTACTTGGGTGGCTAGGGAGGAGAAACAAAAATTTGACGCCACCCTGGGCAACTTAGACTATCTCAAAATAGCATTTTTAAAAGGTTCCAGGGAAGTGACTCAGTGATAGAGCATATACCTAACAGATGTAAAACCCTGGATTTATCCCCAAGACTGAAAAATAAACAGAAATAGTGAAGTAAATTTTCAAGAGTTTTGAGAGAAAAGTAACTGGCAGATTGAAATGTGGAGAATTTGGGGGGCTGTGATTTTTTTTTCCTAGTATAAAACATGCATGCTTTAATCCTACAGTTAGGTTGGTTTTGTGTATCTATATTGCTTTTCTCTGCTGCAGTTTCTCTTTTGACAACACCCTATATGGCACAACTGGTTATCAGGGACTGACTTAATCATGGCTACTTTTCATTAACACATGCATATGTTAGCATATAGTTTCTTTTCACCCCATTCTGAACCATTTGTCACAGGAAAGAGTATACTGATGAGATTCTAAGTTTGTGTGATTTACAGGTTTTTGAATGAAAGAAGGAAAAGTTATATACATTTCATTGCCAACTGAATATTTCTTTCACATTGTAGTTATAGATTATAGATTGAAATGATTATGTTGTATTTCTGTTTACCCACTAGTCTTTAATTAAATAAAAAGGAAAACAAAGTGGGGAAAATCAGCTTTGATTTCTGAGCTCAGTAAAATGACAAATATTTTTAAAGGGACAAAATGGTGTCTTAAGTGTATAAGGGATATTCAATTATTAAGGGAAATAAAGCAGTTTCAGTGACTATACCATTTATAGTTATACCACCAGGAACCTGTCTCTAAAGTTGAGTTAGCACAGGAATGTAGGGTAAGAGCATTACACTGAATGTTGCCTCTTCAATCATATAACCCAACTACTTGGCCACACCTGACTCAAGTCTGGAAAGTTTGGAACACATGGGCATTGGTGATTCTTTGCCTCACACAAAGTAATTTAAAAAGAGTACTTATGGCTAATGAACATGAAATGATGTTCAGTTTAATGTTGAGGGAAATGAAAAAGCCATAAATGACATTAATTTTTACTCACCAAATTAGCTAAAATGATACCTGAGGATGATAAGTAGAACTCATGCTGCTAGTCAAGAGCATAAATACATATATAGCTATTTTGTAAGATAATTCAAGAATATTTTATAAAATTGAATAGCTGTGTAGTGATAACCCAGCAATTTTTTCCAAGTATATACCCAAAGGAAGCTATTACCAATCAAAGAGACATACAAAAGGAATACAAACATTTACAAACAAGGATCATCAGAGAAAAGGAGGGGGAAGTGAGGGAAGGAGATAGGAAGAAAAGGAGGAAAAAGCCAACCCAAATATACATAGATAATGCAACAGTATAGAGATCCCAGAAATAAAGCTACACAAATATGGCAAACGTGCAATTCAACAGGGAAAGTATAGGCTTTTCAGCAAGTAGCATTGGATATCTGTGGACAAGAATAACAAAAACTCAACTCATATAAAAATTAACTCAAAATGGATCATGATTCATCTGTAATCAAGAATAAAATGAACATGATCCCTTTGATTTGACATCAAAAGCATAAACATAAAAGGAAAAACTTACAAATATGACCTTATCCAAATTAAACTTGCTTTGAAAAGCTACAGACTAGGAGATAATATTTACAAATCACATCAGCTGTGATAAAGATTTGTAATCAAAATGGGAAATTTTTAATCTTTAAAGATTTGTTCAAAGAGTAGCATGTGTTACTTAGCACTGGAGAAATAAAATACCACTACAGGCTTAAAGAATGGCTAAAAAACTAAAAAGTTAAAATACTTAATTTCAAGAATGTGAACCAGGTCGCTCTCTCTTGCTGGTGTGATTTCAAAATTGTACAACCACTCTTTTGTCTAGGGATGAACCTAGGGCCTCAGCACATGGTAGGCACAGGCTCTCCCATTTAGCAACACCTCTAGCTCTTTGTAGCCACTTTGAAAACCGGTTTTGGTGATGGTTTTTTTTTTTTTTTAATTTTAAAGAATTAAAATAGAACAAAGTAATCAACAAAACAATGTAAGCAAAGCAATATAAGTAAAGTAAGCAACTTCAAGACAACAGAAAATCAATAGAGGCTACCATAATCTTGTTTTCTTCTAAATAGTTTTCCATATATTCACACACAATGAATTAAAACAAAACAGAATGCTATAAAACTGCTCAAAACAAAAGAATGAAAGAATATGGGCCTTCAAAACCAGACAATAGGAAAATCAACAATGGCTATCATAATGTCTCTTTGTTTTCTTCTAAATACTCATATCTTCACATATATGGCAATCAAATAATAGAAAACTGACTAAAAGAATAAAAGCATTATTGGACTTCAAAACAAGATATAGGAGATCAGCAATGGCTACCATAATGTCTCGTTTTCTTCAAAGTAGCTGTTTATACCATCATACATAATAAAATCAATTTTTGTAAACTCTTTAGAAGTTCAAGGCATGTATAGCCTATACATGTATATCAATCCTTTCTGCATTAGAGGGAAAAACAAAACTAATCAAAAGACAAGAAACACAACAACAAAGAAACCCAAACAATGAAAACCAGTTTTGATAGGGTTCAACAATCCCACTCTTAGATAGTTATCCAAGTGAAGGGGAAACACACACATTTTTATGTGAGTTTATAGTGGATTTGTTTATAACTGCCCCAAAGAAGTGTGGATGGGTGGGTGGGGCATTCTTAACTGGAGAATGTATAAGCAATTGTGTTACCTCCACTCAATGAATTCGCTATTTAAAAGAAATAGAACATAGATTAACATGGATGAACTCAAACATTATGGTACATAAAACAAGCCAGAAACAAAAGGTTACAGACTATATGATTCCATTCATACAACAAAAATCAAGAACAAATCAACCAATGGTTGGTTGCCTCGGGCTTGACTTGTTCCAAAAAGCCTACTTGCCTGTTTCCTAGCTGGGCTGTAACAACTTTGAACCGAGTGGAGAATGTTATCATCCTAAGGAGATCATCAGAAATAAAGTAATTACGCCCGTCACCCGATATGAAGGTCATGAAGGTCTTTTGCAGTCCCCTCCTTTCTTGTAACCCCTTAGGACACAGAGTACGGCCAGGAGGACAATACGGGCTTAGGACACAGGTCAAAACGAGAGTGGCACTTCCGCGGTAACCAAAATGGTTTGGAAAGTCCCTTCGTTTTGCCCACTATTTTAGTGACTGTCAAACGTGAAGTCACTCTCCGCGGAAGAAGGCTGTGCAGTCCACTTTTGCGTGGCCCGGAGCGGACCTCGCAGCCGGGGTCTCTGAGCGGCGCTCCCGGGCTGCGCCGGCGGCCCGAGCGCGCAGCGAGTGCTGGAGCCGGGCTCCGCTCGGGCTGGGACTCGTGCAGAGCGGCGCTGCGCGGCGCGGCCGCCGGCCCACGGAGGGCGCGCGCGGAGCGGTAGGGCGCACCCGAGAGCCGCCTGACTCGCCGCGGCGGAGCTTTCCAGTTCCCGAGCGAGGCCAGCAGCGGGCCCCGCCGCCGCTCCGCCCTATGGCGAGGCTGCGAGACTGCCTGCCCCGCCTGACGAGAGCGATCCGGTGCCTGCTCTTCTGGTCCCTAGTCTACTGCTACAGCGGGCTCTGCGCTTCTGTCCATCTCCTCAAACTTTTGTGGAGCATCGGCAAGGGACCCGCACAGACCTTCCGGCGGGTGGCCCGGGAACACCCTCCCGCTTGCCTCAACGACCCCTCTCTGGGCACCCACTGCTACGTGCGCATAAAGGTGAGGCCGGCCCAGGCCTGGCGGTAACGCGGGAAGGACGTGACGGCCGTGGGAGCGGAGGGGCCGGGCTGCACCTTCCCTGGCGCCAGCTTGGCGTCCTCTAGAGATGCCCGTGCTCCTGGGGGGCGCGGCGACCAAAGCGGAGGCGGGAGGGGCAAGGCGCAGCGAGAGAGGGGTCAGGTTTGCCTGCGTTTATAGGGTGAGGAGACTCTGGGGAGGGGGCAGAGATTCGTTTTGCTTTCTGTAGTTTTCCAACCAGAGTCCACTAGCTGTATTTCCTTTCCTTCTGTCTCCTTTTTGCCCTTTAGAGCTCAGATCAACTGTAGGGAATTGCTTCTGGTGATGCCCTACCGTCTCAGGAGGCTGTCTTTACCCAAATATTGAGAGTGAATCTTTGGACTTCAGAGTTTATTGTGATCACAGATGGCCTAGGCAACACAACAAAAATGAAAAAATGCTATGTGTTTGTGAGGAGGGAAGTATATGAATGGAATTAAAACTAAATTTCAGCTGTGCATTCACTCAGTAATTGTCCTAGACTTTCTCATGGTCCAGAGATACTCTACTTCCAGAGACTTGAGGTGACAAAGGGAAATACCTTCGTCACCTGTGAAGGGAAGTCCCTGTGATGTATATCCTGCAGTCTGACTCATAGGTCTTCAAAACGAGCATTGAATGCAAAGATATTTATATCAGCAAGTCATGATTTCCTACTAGGTGCTAACTTGTCCAGCAGAATAGAGAAGGGCAGGAGTTTCCTTCTTTCAAGATGTTCCTCTGCCCTTCCTTTCCTTGGAGTTAATAGCAGAATTGAGTTAATATTTACCGCCACCTGCATTTAAAAAAGGACGACTTAGAACAATACCTGACACATCAGTGCAATAAAGTATGTGCATTAAAACCAGTCAAATGCCTGCAGTAATTATCCTCTAAGACTCACCATCAAAACCAAAAAGAAGTTATTGAACTGCCCTTGAGGATTCTGCAGTTGAGGGCAAGGTCATATGTTGACTCCGTCCAAGTAGAGGAGTATGAGCACCCTGGGAGTCATCTGGAATTCCCCATAGTATTTTTCTCCTGACTCTAGCCACCTAAAAATATCCCTAGAGATACAGTACTAGAGGGTGGAAAGAACATTATCTTGGGAGTTTGTACAAGATGAGGACTCTAGTCATGCTCTGCTGCCAGTCACGTGTGTTAACACCTTTGAGCCTCATTGTCTCGATCTGTAAAATGATAGTGTTGAATTAGAGACCTTTAAGATCTATGAACATCTGAAAACCCAGGTGCTGGATAGCTGTATATAGTATAATTTCGTATTTATATGCAGCTATTGAGTCTTGGGTCTCTCTTAGCTTTTTTTCAGTTTTGCTTTCTCTTCTGCCTTCTTAGTTTCCTTAGTGTTGCTGTATTCTCCCATTCCCATTCCTATTCCCATTCCTTTTCTTTTCTTTGGGCTGTCTTGACTCCCGCACGCAGAGTGAAGTCTTGGGGATTCTGCTGTTGGAAACACACACTGACATGATGTGGTGAGCAGACGCAAGGGAAGGTGCATGCAACACTCAAAATAATAATGTGGGAAGGAAAGACCTAAAAATAAGAGAAGGAGGTGTGAATTATATAACTGATGGTACAGCTTTTGACGGGTAAGCTGAAAAAAGTACGTGACTAGGAAGTTAACTTGGCAGAAATGTAAATTCAGATCAGAATTATTTACATGTCCTGCCAAATTTGAATGAAAGGTGACACATCCATAAGATGACAGTTACAAATTGTGACATTGCTTCAGAAGCTCAAAATACCTGTATATAAATTGACCTTGTAGTAAGAACTATAAGGGAGGGCACCATGAAGAAAATGTTCATAAAACTGAATCAAATTATCCTATTGATAAAAACACAAAGTTTTAATTTCTGAATATTAATATTTTATTTCTTGATGTTAAAAATAATGCATGCCAGCTTTTAAAACATAAAATGAAGTTACTCAATGGTCTATTCTGACAATCAAAACCAAATAGCACTAAAATTCCATACCTTCCATTTTCAGGATTCAGGGTTAAGATTTCACTATGTCGCTGCTGGGGAAAGAGGCAAGCCACTCATGCTGCTGCTTCATGGATTTCCAGAATTCTGGTAAACTTACCAAATACCTTTTTCTTTTTGCATTAAAACTTGATTTATTAGCTCAGTCTACTTTGTGCTACAATAGCAGAATACCACAGAATGGTTAGTTTATAATGAGCAGAAATTAATTTTCTCATAGTTCACAGGCTGGGAAGTCCCAGATCAAGGAGAAGTATCTGGTGAGGACCTTCTTGTTGAGGTCGAAAGGTAAAAGGGTGAAAGAGAGTGAACTCATCCTTCCATAATGGTTTTAATTTTACCATGAGAGCAGATATCTCTTTAATTTTACCATGAGAGCAGATGGCCCAAACCACCTCTTGAAGCTCCCATCTCTTAACACTGTTTTTCTGGCAATTAAATTTCCACATGAGTTTTGAAGGGGGCAAATGTTCAAACCGTAGCACTGATTGTAGAATCACTTTTGTAATGACTTTTGACAGAACCAGCCCTACAACAATTTGCCCAGAGTTATTGTTCCTGAATATCCCTGAATCATAGTAATGGTTTCCTCCTAAAGTAATTCATATACAACTAACCTAAATTAATTAACTTTATGAATATTATAAAAAGTGGATTTTTTGCTTGTTTACAAAAAGTGTTTTTAATATTTCAAATTTCTGAAATGGTCACATGACAGTTTAGAGTACCTACTATAGACAAAATACAACATTGGTTGGGAAAGGAGATGTTGAACAAACTGAAGACTTGGAGTGCTTTTTATCAGGAAGCTTTTGATAAATCTAAACTATTTGCTATGCATATAGAATAGGTTCACATGAATGTGGGATAAGTTAAAGACATGAATATTTCACATTAAAAAGAAAACCTGAAGCCAAAAATGCATAATTATCACATATTTGTGCTGCTCTAACAAAATAGCTGAGACTGAGAAACTTGTAATGAACAGAAATTTATTTTACAGTACTCTGGAGGCCAGGATCAAGACATGGTATCTAGTGAGAACTCAGTCTTTCCTTCAAAGAAGGTACCTTGTTGCTGTGTCCTCCAGAGGAGCTTAAAGCTGTGTTCTCACATGGTAGAAGGACTAGGGAAAAAGACGAACTAGTTCCCCAAGCCTTTCATAAGGTTGCTAACAGCATTTATGAGGATGTTGCCCTTGCGACTTCAGGCCACTCTCTTAACACTATCACATTGGTGATTAAGTTTCAACTTCTGAATTTTAGGGTACATATTCAGACCATAGATGGTATCCAGGGGGAAATTTTCTGTTCTACATTGGCCCCACAAGACCAAGTCAATACAGCTGAAAGCAACAACTAATTCTAATTTTTAAAAAATTTTAATGGAGTATCTTTAACAGAGATGTAATTCCACTTGGGAGGCTGAAGCAGGAGGAGCAGAGGTTCAAAGCCAGCGGAGGCAATTTAGCAAGACCCTGTCTCCAAATAAAATTTAAAGAAAGGGCTGGGTCCTGTATCCCAACACTTAGAAGACTGAGGGCAGGAGAAATGCCACAAGTTCAAGGCCAGCGTGAGGTATATAGTGAATTCAATACCAGACTGAACTACACAGAAAGGCTCTGTCTGAAAAAGAAGAAGAAAGAGAAGGAGAAGAGAAACAGGAAGAAGAAGAAAAAGAAAAAGAAAAAGAAAGGACTGGGGATTTAGCTCAGAGACAGATTACTTGCTTAGCGTATGAGAGGCCCTAGATTCAATATCAAATGGATAGAGGTAGTATATCTTAGTGGTTTCTGGTAGCACAGGGCTACGATCTTCATATATTCTGAACTAAATAGATCAAGAAATGAATGAATATATAAAGCACATTTTCTGAGCTGACTCAAAGGTGGAATATCCAGTGCCTTTTGAAGAGTTTGGGACAATAGTCTCTTCCAAAATTTCTCCTTTACTGTTTCATACTACCTAGAATTCCACCATTGTAATTCTTCACTTTCTTTATAGCTTTAAAAATTTTGTGTCACCCAAAGTCTTGGTTTAAAATGCGTCTGTCTCTGAGAAGAATATTAACTCTAGATGAGTTAGTTAATTTTGTACTCTTTGAATTAAGGAGACTATATGAACAAGTCCATTGAAGACATCAATGTATCAAGAAGTATTAAGAATTGAAGAATGGAATAGAGGTTGTAAAGATCCATCTACCTCATGATTTTTCTGAAGCAAAATCTATGTCTTTCTTGTATCACTGCTGAGACAAAATACCTGATACCTACAAGTTAAAAGAGAAAGGTTTATTTTAGCTCACAGTTTACAGAGGTTGCTATCCATAGTCAGTGGCTGTGCAATAAGGTGGCATGGCAGTGGGGCACAGAAAAAAGAGAAACAGTCCATGGAAGGACAGGCAGAAGGCAGTGAAGCAGCAAGCAGCAATAGCAGCAGCAGCAAGCTTGTCTTTCTCTTTTATCCCATGCAGGCTACAAGCCTTTTGGGTGGTGCTTTCCACACCCAAACTGGGGCTTCCCATTATCCACATCCAGAACTATGAAAAACCAATTAGTGAACTGATACCATATACCCTTAATCCCAGTATCACATTCTTAATCCACATTCACACACCCCAGATCCAGCCACCTTCAAAAAGCCCCACGTATCACTGCATAAACTTTGGGGGAATGTCTAGATACAAGCCATAATATGAGTACCTCTTTTCGTGTGGTGGCTTTCCCTTCATGAAGATTATTTTCCTTTTCTGGGTCTAGCTGCATAACTAAACATGCAATTTCCATCTGTTCTATCTGGGGATAATGTAATTCAGTGGTAGAAGAACTGCCTATGCAAATCAAGCATTTGTATGCAGATACGTTAGTGCATGACACAGAGTGCATGATACAACTGGCTCACAATAAAATGTTACTCTGAAGCATTTGTCAAATCTATTCAGAGTAATGTTGGAAGTGAATTCTGGTTTAGCCTCTTACTGGCTTGTGTACTCCTGTACAATTGTTTATAATAATCTTACAGAGATGTTGTGAATCAAAACATGTGAAAACCAATTTACAAGGCCCCAGGGAATACTCCATAAATATTTGTTTTCTTCGCTCATTTTCCTCACTCAATGTGGAGATCTAGAACTTCCTAACTGTGGCTGCAATACTGATGACAGTTAATGTTTACTGAGGATTTAATGACCTAAATACTCTTAGAAGTATTTTGCCTATATCCTCTCAGGTAAGCTCATAGCTCTCCTATTAAATGTACTAGGAAGTAAGGCTCCCCTCATTTGTAAAATTTAGAGCTAAACTCTGCTGCCTGTCTTTCAGTCTATAGGAACCATAATGATCTGATAACGTCACCCCTAAAATTTCATACCTTCTGCCAATATTCACGAGAGTATTAAAAAGTCAGCCAACAAAGCTGAGTGCAGTGGTACCTATTGCCCTAACATTGGAAAGGCTGAGGCAGGAGGATGGCTTGAGTCTAGGAAATCAAAACCAGCCTAGGTAACCTAATAAGACCTTGACTCACAGGTCATTATACAATGTAAAAATAACTTACTTTAATACTCTAAATCACAATTATAAACAAAATTCATGGTCTGAATGGAGGGGTGGTATTTACCCCATCATGCTCCTTTTCCTACTGAAATGTTAGAGCTTTACACGTGAAATGATCTATTAAAGATAAAAATGAACCCACAACCACTTCTACCACTTGGTAATTGTTTCAGAGTCCTAGAAAATGGCAGTGGACCTCATTTAACAAGGGCAATAAATGCTTTGTGTTACCTTAAGAAATGTACCTTTTTTGCATGCTTTTTCATAACGTTGTTCCATTGTTTATTCATGAGTGATCTTTTGCAAAATAGATATGCCTGATGATTGCTCTACATAGGACCTTTAGTGGATCCCTTTTTTACCCATTCAGCAATTTAGTCAGTTCCATTTAGTTGCTAGTAAGAAAAAATCCAAATCTTAGAATTTAGGACCAAATGCTAAGATTTATGTTCTAGGACAAAACTTTTTTTTTCATTGTAAGAGCCAAAAATACTTTATGTGTGGCATCTTGAAACACTTTCAGTTATTCCTCTGTCAGTTAACCCTGCATAAGTGCCCGTGAAAGTACAAGCTTGAATACAATGAAAACAAAATAAGCATATATTGGTAATGTGTGTGAAAGTGATTTTTTAAACAGAGAAGCACCCCACAAGTGTAATGTATTCTCTACTTTTATTATCATTGCTTGAGAATAGCTGTTGAGTAATGGCATATTTAGTGTATACTATTACATAGGACACAGAAAACAATAAAATTCTGAGCATTTTTTCTTAAAATCTAAAGGAAACATCAAAGACACATCTGTTAGAACTTTAGCTAAATTAGCCTCAAATACAGTTATCAGGGGATGATTTTTCTCTCTCTATTCATCCCAATTTGCATCTCTTTTAAAAATATTTTGAGCTGACCTAGGCAATTTTTGTGAGTTGGCCTCATCCCCAGCTGTGTGGGAAACATGCTTCATCATTCAAATGCTGAGCCAAGGCAAATGAAGGCTCTTCACACATACAGCAGAGCCAACAACCATGATCTTCCCCAGTGGAGAAGAGAAAGAGGATGCTTTTACATCTGAAAGTGGCTGGCCTGATAAAACCAGGAGCCCACCTTATGTTAGAGTAGTAACTGGGAAAGAGTTGATTTTTTTTTTCCTAAATGACCTCTATTATTACCAAAAACTACCAGAAAAAAAGCCAATGTGGACAAAAATAGTTTTATTTAAGGTATTTTAGAATGTTACTGCTTTCGTAAAATGTCTCATTTCTGTACCAGTGGAAATGTTTTGTTTTATTCATATGAATGATGTGCCCCTCAGTCTATCACTAGGGTGTTTTTTTTAGTTTAAAATATGAATTAAATGTGTTATTATTTAGAAAATTTTTTTGTTTTCTAATAACAAACTCATGACCTCACACTTGCCAGGCAGGCACTTGTGCCACTGAGCTATATCTCCAGCCTAAATATGTTATTATTTATGAATTCTTCAGCAGGAGTATATCTTAAGGTTTGAACTGGGACAGAAGTCTAAATGGAAAACTGGCGCTATCAGTTTCCATTAGTTTGTTGTTTCAGTTATTCAACAAACCTTAATTAAGCTCCTACACTCAACTCGGGGAGCTTACTATTGAGCCAGACAGGAATAAACCATTATATGACATGTGTCTATTACACTGGAGAATACAGAGGTGTAAAGGAGGTAGCCTGGGCGACTCCTGGGCAAGGATATGCCTAATGTATAATGAGAAGTGGGGTTCAGGGATTGTGGGGTAATAGGGGAATCATGGGAAGGTAGTATTTCAAAGGACATCATATGAACAAAGCCATAAAAGCAAAACATGATACCCTTGTATATTTACTGTAATAGTCTAAAGCTGCGGAGGCAGCATGAGGTAGACTCCCAAGTTCAGACTACTTGGCTTTGAATCCTCTGCTGCTAGCTAACACATTGACCTTCAGCACTTCCATTAGCCTAGACTCTTTCTGTAAAGTGGAATAATAATAATGCATATTGAAGCGAACTATTTGGAAGACAACTGTTTGCCACATGTAAATCACGTAGAGTTGAGCCTGGCATACTGTAAGAGTGATGTGGATATCGTTTATTTTTATTACAAAACAAATTACAGACTGAAAAGTGTTCATGCTGGGAGACTGGGCAGTAGTCAGGTCTTTAAGGATTGGTCTGTTGGGATAATGAGTATGGGAGTCATGTTATGAGTGATAAGGAATCACCAGATCTTCAGCAGGGAAATAAGAAAATTTGCATTATTGCTGCCTCATTCTGATTAATTGAGAAGAATGAAATAGACACAGATCAATCAATAGGATGGTACAAAAATTGAAGCTTGAATTAATGAATCATAACAGGATAGACAAGAGGAGTGATTACATAAATATTTAAGATGTTAAATCTGCAGAACTTTATTGACTGGGTCTGAAAGGTTATACAGAGGGGAGAGTTGGGTTTCAATTCCAGAGACATAAAAAGCTAACTCAAAATTAAAAGGTTAATGAGAAACTAATAAAAATTATATGTGTCAGTCGATAAAAATCTATAAGGAAGCAAACAACTTCACTTGTTTATTACAACCTAGAGCCAAGATTAAGAAGATTCCTATGATCTAGCCAAAAAAAGTATTTATTTACATTTTTCAAATCCATCTTAAGTGGCAATGCTTTTGCAAATATTTAAGTCATACGTATCATAGCAGTAGGTCAGAGATTTTGCATGCATTCATAATTCCAAATATGTGTCACATCTGTTGATGTGAGGTTATTGACTTGTTAGAATGGTCTTATTGCTTTATGTTACTTGGGGGGGGGTAGCTGAACTGAGGATTGAATGTAGAGCCTTTACCTGAGCTGCATCCCCATCCTTTTTCCTACTCTTTTTTTCTTTTTTTTTTTTTGGCAAGTTCTCACTAAATTGCATGGGTTGGGCTTGAACTTGCAATGCTTCTATCTCAGGCTCCCAAAGTGCTGGGATAATAGGCATGCACCCGCCACACTTGACTTTTATGTCAGTTTGCATTGCAGTTTCCTCTCGCTACAGATTTATAATCTTACATCTTTGTGTTTGCTTGTCTGTGGCATTCCAGAGATATTTTCAGATGATAGTCTTCTATTTGGCTTGTCAGAAAATTTTACAGTTTCCATGAACAGATGTGCTTCTTTTAAATTTATGAGTCACCTTGGAATATATATATATACACTTTTCTTGTTAGTTATCCAAAATGACTTTGCTTTTTTGAGGAAGAAAATTCTCCTGAATCTCTATTTTCAATTATTTCTGCAGTTTCATGATTAAACAGAGGAATGCTTGGCACTGTAGAAGCCTGGCGGGCTTGGCTACAGCACTCTGTCCATTCTAATTCATCAGTGCTAGTGCCACTTTGGTTGTTAACTGTTCTGGTTATCACTCTTGCTTGTACTCATGGGTTTGGATCTTTTCCAGACAATTTTGCATAGCAAGTAGAAGTTCATCTGAAATGGTGGTCCTGTTGAATTCTTTCAGTGACAATCTGTTATAATCTTCAGACTTTTTTCTTCTATAGATGAGATATTGTGCAGTAATTACTGAGAACACAGGGCCATTTTTGATAATGAAGTAAAATGAGTAAAATTTACTTTACAGGGAAATATATTTTCATCAAATACATTTTCTAATAAGAGAATCAAATGATTATATAAAAACATTTTGCTCACATTACTCCACAAAAATCCTGGGTGAGATGAGCGTTCAGATGTTTTATAAAACACTCCAGTTCACATTGTTTTACATTATTTCAAAACGTTATAATAATTTATTTAGCCTAGAAATTCAGACTGTAAAATAATGGACTAATCTTAGTACAAATTTCCTGATGGCTATAAGCATCATTTAAGAAAAGCTGAAAAAACTGATTTAGTACACACACACACAAAAAAAAACACAAACGCACGCGCGCAGACACACAGTGTGTATCCAACTTTTAAAAGTTTCTGTAAAAACTTTTGTCTTCATACCCTGCTGAAGCTTGTAAAAAGATAAACTAATTTTAGTCAAGATTGTCAGTGTTTCCTTCTCATGTGACTCTCTTTTTCTTCTTGAGAAGCAACTATATAACCTTTTTCAAAATAAAGAATTTCTTATAGATTTCCACTTAGGGAAACTTTGATATTACTATTTTTTGATGTTCATTTTTTGTTATTTTGATACAAGTTCCCACTATGTTGTACTGGCTAATCTGAGCTTTTGCGCTCAAGTGATCCTTCTGCCTCAGCCCCAAGTAGCTGGGACTACAATCACCATGCCCTAGGAGTGCTACTTTTTGTGTTAGTCAATAGAGTATTTTTAATGTTTCTTTTTCCCTGCAGGTATTCTTGGCGTCATCAACTGAGGGAATTTAAAAGGGAATATAGAGTTGTTGCACTGGATTTGAGAGGCTATGGAGAAACAGATGCTCCCAGTCATCGAGAGAATTATAAATTAGACTGTCTAATTACAGATATAAAGGATATTTTAGACTCTTTAGGTAGGTTACTTTTTTTTTTAACAGTATTAAATTCTTTGTAAGGGACTAACTTCACCAAATTGTGAGTTGATGACTTCTTTTTTTGGATGAGTGAATTTTCCATCTACCCCAGCTATTATCTAGATCCTGTCACCATGGTTTTGGTGACACAGCCCAAAATATATGTCCAGGAAATTTAAAATAATACATCTAGAATATGCAGTCAAGAATGACCTTCAAAAAATTTATTTTAAATAGACCTTCCTTATCTTCCTTTGGGGGACTAAAAGAAGAAAGTGCCATCTGATTAGGAAAACAATAGACAATGCATACTACTTATTATTTTTAGTACCAATTATTGAAAATTTGATTTTCACATCCAGAAAATTCATTTCTTCAAAACTCACACTTAAATATTAATTTAAAAATGTTATAAGGTCCAGAAGTAGTTTACATTATCTTTTTTTCACTAATCAGCTGGTACCACAATAAAATTGTATAAGAAACCCTATGAAACCAAAGGGCTTTTCTGCAGTAGATCAGACTGAATACTTAGAAGAGAAAAAAATGGATGGCGTCAGCATACAGTGTCTATTGAATCTGATTACAGTAAAATAGACTCAGGTGCTGATTTCACACTATTGTACTGCATTCAGATTCTGTGATAATTCAGTCAGACCTGGCCTAAATCTGTCATAGTGAAATTTTCTAGGCAAATAAATAATATAAACAAAGTGTGTGTGTGTGTCAGTGTATTAGAATAGTAATGTGCGAAATACTTGAAAGAAGTAATTTAAGCACTTTAGGAGTAAGTTACAGATGAATCATATCTAGTTGTACAAGAGAAATCTTTTAGGAATCTTTGTTAGAGAGGGAAAAAAGTTACCGTAATCTAGCACAGACAACTTACCTAAAAATGTACCTTAACTTAGTACAGTTGTCTTATGTGTTTTATATGCTTTTTAACCTATTAGTTTGATTTTTAATCTGTATATATGATAATTAACTGTATTAGGTACTATAAGATAAATAAATGAATCTGATACTGGCAAAATGAAATGGGCTAGAGGGAAGGGGAAAAAAGAATTGAGATGTATTATGGACCTGTACCAGTTCCTTACATTGAATGGAATCATTATGTACTGCAAAAACATACTAATAAAGGTTAAAAAGATTTAACCTAATTCAAATTATCATAGTGATTACATGAAATGAAACTTAATGATGGGATGGTGTGATATATTCTGAGAAATGCATGATTAGGCTGTTTTATCATTGTGTGCTTATTATGTCCGTTACTTGATATGGAGTAAAGAAATGTGAAAACGTAAGATGCATGAAGTACTTTAAGCATGACACAAACACTTTTACAGTAATTATTTTAGTAATTAGAAATAATACACTCTAATATAGCAATAAAAGTATAGTATAGTAAGTATATAATCTAGTAACTGTCATTTATTATCATTATTATGTACTATAGACAACATGCTCTACTTTTCTATGACTGGAAGAGCAATAGGTTTGTTTATACTGTATTTCTACAAATGTCTGAGTAATGCATTATGCTACTGTAGGACAGCTACATCCCAAGAAATTTTTCAACTCCATTATAATTTTATGAAACCACCATCATATATGTATGGAAATGGCATTCCACAGTCCATGACTGTGTCTTAAAGATGCTATAATTAAGACTTTCTACTAATTCAGGTTGAATTGTAACATTAGATTTGTAAAGTTAGAAAATATATACTTCTTAGAAATAAAAATTTACAAGTTGAAGCCTAGTACAGTAACACACACCTACAATCCCAGCACTTGGGAGTGGATCACGAGTTCAAGGCCAGCTTGGGCTCTAAAATGAAATGTAAGGCCAGTCTGAGACCATAGTAAGACCTTGTCTGAAACAAACAAAAAATATAAGTTGGACATAAATGTGGCATTCATAATTTTACTATAGCTAGTAATTTGAATTTTCTCAGCAAACGAATTTTCTCAGTATCTAAAAATGAAGTGTGTTTAAAACCTAATTATGTGCATTCTTTCTGAGTTTCTAAACTCAGATCCTTAAGAGCAGAACTGCTGCCTATTTCAGATTTATTTTTAAATATAGGTTCTTGAAAGAGATTCAGAATCTGTTAAGTCTAGAGTGGATCCTGTGTGCCTAAATTTTCTAAAAAGCTATCTACGTGATTCAGATATACAGGCTGGTTTTGGAAACATTAACTTCAATTTATCTGTATATAGTAGATAGTATATAGGATAAGGTGGTGGAAGAGCAGCTTCAGAAATGTCACTATTTTTTGTGAAGTAAAGATGCATTGCTTACCTGTTTCTTTTAAATGAAATTAAAATTTGTTTCTCAATTTCAGGGTATAGCAAATGTGTTCTGATTGGCCATGACTGGGGGGGCATGATTGCTTGGCTAATTGCCATCTGTTATCCTGAAATGGTGATGAAGCTTATTGTTATTAACTTCCCTCATCCAAATGTATTTACAGGTGAGTTTAAGTTTTCATTAAATCATCTTTGCTATTGGTCACTATTGGCATTGATATTTTGGATTGAAACAGCAGAATTTGGCTAACATAATCTTTTAACAATAAAATGACTAAACTATGATAACATATGACAGTCTCCTGAAGACCCTAAGGAAACGTAGCTTCCTCTTGGCTTGCATAAAGTAACTCCTTTTAGGAAAACATTTCACCATTATCTTAGAGAGAAAAAAGGGGAAAATGCAATGAAGATTACTTTGAAAGTACTGAATTGTGACAACTTAGAAATAAATTTTCTTCTTGTAAAATTGCCTTGTATATTAGAAACACCAACATTTTTTAAAGCAGCAATTCTCTTTTTTTGTAGTGCTGAGGATTGAACCTATGGCCTCTATTACATGCTAGGCAAGCACTGTATCATTGAGCTACATCACTAGGCCTAAAGCAACCATTCTCACATTTTTGGTCTCAGAACTATGTAACTTTATATTTTACATATATAGATTGCATCTGCATATAGTCACTGAATAGGAAATTAAAACAAATTTATAAAATATTTAGATATTAATTCATTTCTTTAAAAACCCATTACATGCTAACATAAGTAGCATGTTTTAACTAAAACTACCAGCTACACTTAACAAAGCTTTAATGATAACAGGCTATTTTATATTTTTGTAAATCTCTTTAATTTGGGGCCTAATTCAAGACAACTGGGTTCTCATATTTACTTCCGCGTCCAGTCTGTTGCAATACATTGTTTGAATAAATTTGGCTTCGCACAGATTTGTAATTGGAAAAGGGAGGAATATTTTAATAGCCTTTTCAAATATGATTTTCCTCCAAACTCAAAAATTGGTGGTTTCTTAAAGGTTAATAAAAATGTAGAATGTGATGTGTAAGTGAACTTTCCATACTCTGTCACACTAAAATCCATTAGTCTGTGCTGGGACTGGTGGCACTTACCTGTAATCCCAGCACTCAGGAGGCGGAGATAGGAGGATTGCCATGAGTTCGTGGCCATCCTGGCCTAAATAAATGAATTCAAGGCCAGCCTGCACTACACATAGTGAGACCTGTCTCAAAAACCAAAACAACAACAACAATAAAATAAAGTCCATTGGTCTCACTAGCATTTTGAATAGATATTTTATCCATACATAATTTTGTATAGACACAAAACTGAATTATGGAGACCTTCAATAGTTCACAATTCACTGAATTATGAACTCAATAGGTTGACATTTTTGATATATAAAATCACATTTACTAATACCAGTTTAGCCTCATCAGTAAAAGGCTTAACTTGTGCACAGCTGTGAAGCTTGCAGTAGGAGACAGAAATTTTCCAAAATTCCACTCTTCATTTGAAAGCAAGTTTTTATTTAAGCCAGGCTTGTGCAGTACCAGAATTCAGGAGACTGTAGCAGGAGAATCACGAGTTAGAGGTCAGTTTTAGTTAATGTGTGCAAGACTGGACTAAACCATATAGCAAAATCCTTTTTCAAAAGAGAAAAGAAAAAAAAAACCCTTTTATTTTATTAAAGCCAAAAATAATATTGTTTTCTTTGAACTGAAAGGCTTAGTTTGCACATTTTTCAAGAGATTATCTCCTAAAACCCATCCTACTGAAGATAATTTGTTAATCTATTATTTCAAATGAAAAATATCTTATTTTTAAAATGCAACAAATTCAACTCATTAACTGAAATAACCACAGGTATGTTTTTCCTGCAACAAAACTGTTTTATGTGTACTTTCTATTTAATCATATCACATGCTAAAAATATGTGTGCTTCAAGATCAAGGCTTAATAAAATTAATAAGTTTGCTGTTTCTTCAAGGACATTGATAAGTGAAACTGGAACATTAATTAACTAATTTACTATAAGCATGCAGTGGTGAGGAACATAATGAATACAGGTATCATTTAGTCATAACCTCTTGATTTGTTCTAAGGTATCAGTAGCTTTATCCACTATTGCTTTTGTATACTCAGCAAATTTAAGCACAGCAAAAAACAGCAAGTAATGTTGTAGTGTTATGAAAAAGATTCGACCATCTAGATATCTTCCAAGAATTCTGGGATCCTCAGGCATGCACAGGAACTAGTAGAATCTAGTTTTGTTTGTTTTTGTGATAGAGTCTAGCTAAATTGTCTAGGCTGGCTTTGAACTTGAAATTCTCCTGCCTCTGCCTCCTCAGTAGCTAAACAGATAGGCACCATCACACTCAGACCTTGTTAGGTTTTCTGAGGTACACGTACTGTTAAGATTCACAGAAGTCCTTACAGAAACAAAAAATTCAGGACAACATATTTCAATTTCTTCCCCAAACTAAACAAATGAGAGTTTTGGGCTTGGTGGCACATGCCTATTATCCTAGCACTGAGATAGGAGTATTTCTGGGAGTTCAAGGCCAGCCTAGACTATAAAATGAGTTCACGATAGCCTGAAATACATAGCAAGACTCTGCCTCAAATAAATAAATAAGAAAGGGACTGTGACTATGTAAATAAGGGTTGAAGTTTTAGATATGTGTTCAGTTGGCTTCTCTTTGTTGAGTTACTAAGCTTAGTATTCAAATATTCTGGGATTCATTTTTTTTTTTTTCAATTGTATTAGGTAGTTAAAGTCATGCTACATGCTGTTCAACTGATCAGAACTTTAGAGTAACTATTATTTTGATAGTGGTACTATATAGATTAATTGTAATTATTGATTTCAGCAAAAAGATACTTGGACTATTTCTGTAATTATTTTATCAGTAATACTTTTAAGCCCATCAAATCAACATGAGGATTCCATGTAACCTTTTTTATATTATTTTCTTTGATTGTACTGATATTTTTTAATGCAGGAGTAAATAAACTTGTTCAAAGATAACTTTACAAACAGCGTAGCATAATAGTAGAACTTACTTGAAATTATATTTCTAAAAATCTTAACTATATTTATTATAGTCACAATATAAGAAATAAGGAAAAAATAATCTGTAGCAAGGAAAATAAAAGTGTAGTGTACAATATCCAACACTACTCCCCATTGAAGACTTAAGTATCTACCCAAACCTCCTGAGATAAAACCCTTGCCATTCTAATCCTACCAAATCAGGCTTCACTTTTTCCCTTCTGATTCATCTCATGCCACCTCCCCCTCCTTCACTGCTCTGGATGTCTTTCTCCTTTTTGCTAATTCCAAACCCAACACCTCTTCACTGTTCCTCTATACTCTTCATATATCTTTGCACAGATGGCTCCCTCTTAACCATTCGGCCCCCACGTATCACATCCCCAGAGAGATCTTCTCTGATCATGTCTACTCATAATCCCTCCACACTGTGCCATCATCAGTCTTAATAAGATTATCTTGTTTTGTTTGTTTTGTTGATAACACTGTTGCTCTCTAAAGTGATTTTTTAAAAGTATTTGTCACTTACTGTGCAAGCTCTCTGCTCAGAGGGACCTTTTCTGTCTCATTCATTGCTAAATTCCCTGGCACACAATAGACATACAACAATTTATTGAATGAATAAATTTTCTATATACATGAATGAATTTATAGGAATCACTGCAGTACCTTTTGAGGGCAAATGAATAAGATGTTCAATTTGAATCAATCTGTAAGGAAAAAAATCTTTTTAAAGAGGCAAAATTCCATTACCATGAATTCCTGAGGAAAGTGTTAGGGTGCTGATAATGACTTTGGAGGAGAGGCAGTGTTTGGGCTTTCTATTCTCTTCTGAGTTGGGGCTTCATAAAGTGAAACTTTCTTTTTACTTAAAGTGCTATAAATTTTATAAATACTAAAAGCTATAAAATTAAAAATTATAAATACTGTTCTAAAGAGCAATATAACTTGTTTTATGTGCATGCTTTTATGTGATTGTCTTAAAGGTAACATTGTCCTAAAATTTTTTTTCAATAGTAAATAACTTATACTTCTGGAGTAAAGTCTAACATACCATTTTAATTTCAGAATATATTTTACAACACCCTGCCCAGCTATTCAAATCCAGCTATTACTATTTCTTCCAAATACCACAGTTTCCAGAATTTATGTTCTCAATAAATGATTTCAAGGTAAGATAAACATTACAAATGTAAAATGATATTAAAATGTTGAAACTTAATGAGTGGTTTAAGGACTAACCTACAGACTTAGTTGCTTTTATAGTCTCCATTCATATATTTGAATGCCCAGCTGTCCAATTTTTTGTGAGAACCTATATTTCTACAGGCATTGTTCTTTTTGGAGAACATTTCATGGAGAGATGAAGGACTATGAATACTAGACAAGAAAGTTTGACAACAACAGAATTGAAAGCCCTTGGGAATAAAGAACACCTCTGGACAAAGCAAACATGCAGGTGTAGGAGTACTATATACACCGATAAGCAAGTACATTGGAACCATATTCAACATTTCTTGTATGTCCAGAATGATGTTAGATATTGAAAAATTTTCAAAGACAACATAATTTTATTGGAAATAAGTTTGTATATATCTCTGCCAAGTCAGGAATTTTTTTGAGGCTGAAGATTGAACCAAACATATTACTCCTAACATATGCTAAGTGCATGTTCTACACTGAGCTACCTTCCAATTATCAGTGTTTTCATTTTTTTAATGTAGCCCAACTCCACTGTCAAACCTAACAACATGAATGACAGCTTTTAAATCATTAATATCTATTCAGATTTTCTTAACAATTTCAATTTTCTTGATATTTTTCATTTGTTTGAATCAGGAACCAACAAGGTCTATGCATTGTATTTCACTGTTGTGGCTTTTTTTTTAAATTAAAAGAGTCTCACTGTGTTGTCCAAAGTGGTCTTGAACTTGTGGGCTCAAATGATTATCCTGCTTTAGCCACTCGAATAGCTGAGTCTACTGGCACATGTCAAGGTACCTGGCTATTATGGCTTTTAAAATTCATTACAAATACTTTTCTAGCTGTTTTTCTTTTAAAATAATATTTATTTTTCCTGAAGAAAGATCCACACTTTGGTTTTGATTAATTTATTCATCATGGTGATATTTAACTTTTTCTTCAACCCATATTTTCTCTACTTCATAGGTACTACATATCTAGAGACTTGATTAGACTAAGTTTTATGATAACACTTGTGAGATGTTGCTATATATTTTTTTATTTTAATTTTAATTTTTTTATTTTTTTATTTAAAGAGAAAAAAGAAAGGACATAAAAACAAAGCAGTAAAAGGGTACAAGTAATACAGAATTTCAAGAAAAAAATATACAGTAAGAAATCACTAGTTAATAGGTTACATATTGTCTTCTTAGAAACAGTTGTCCAAATTATAAAATTAAAGCATATATGGGGGCTGGGGATTTAGCTCAGCAGCATAAGCGCCTGCCTTGCAAGCAGGCAGTCGTGAGTTCGATCCCTGGTACCGATAAAAAGGAAAAAGACCAAAAAAAAAAAAAAAAAATTAAAGCATATAAAGTGGACATTACAGTTCCGTTCAATGATCCAACGAAAGCTCAGTATTAATATGGTTTTCCATCTACACACTCAAACATACCTGCTGTTATATCCCTTAGTCCACCTTCCTTTCCTCTCTTTTTTACAATAACACTTACACTTTTTTGGGTTTTATTATTCCCATAGTTCTTATTACTTTTTTTCAAGAGAATAAAACCAAACGTGACTAAGCAAAACAGAATCAGTTAGAACAGAAGGACGGGCATAGTACATGATGCAAAAATAGAATACCAGGTGATCAAAAGTGGTTACCATTGTGTTAGATTATCTGGTGGTGAAACACAATGATGCTTAAATTTTCGGCTCTGACCTGCGTTGTTCTGTTACAATGTCCTCTTTTATCTCAATCTCCTCCCCCCCTTTTAAATTAATCTATTTTTTTCGCATTTTTTAATTAAGGGAAAACTGAATTAAAAAATAGTGGGACATATTATAGTAACTTTTTTGTTTTCCTATTAACCTGATTTGAACCCCAGTATTGCTCTCCCCATCTTGTTCTGCCTTGATTATACTATATTCTATTTTGTTTGATAGTATCAAGTTTGAGGGTTTAGGCAACCACTTTGAAGGCAATAAGATATACAATGATGCCCATTATGGTTTGACTATTATCTTTTTTTGAAGTCCTGTAAAGTCTCCAGTGTAGGTTTTATTGGTCTTGTTCTGTACTGTTTTGATCAATTCTATTATACCTGATGATATAGGCAACTCAATTTAAAAATAGCAAGAGGCACAATGCTATATATTTTCTAATGCATCACCTTGAAGAAGGATATTCCTTGTCTTACGATGCCAGCACTAATCAGTGGGCCCATGAATTGTTAGTTGATCCAAAATTTCCTGACCCCCTTTCACCAAATGAGTGTTAGCACACAATGATGATGATAGCCTAGGTTTATTGTTTAATTAAAGTATGCAAAATAATGATTCTTTTACTTCTGTCATCCTTCCTGCCTTCATTAATTGAAATTCTTTTGCAAAGAATTTCTCCACATCTATTTTGTTGTTCTCAAATATAGTTTATACAGAAATAGTAGGGAAAAGCTTCATTCTTTCCTATTATTAAAGAACTGTCAGTTAAATGAGTATATATCAGGTCCTGATCTAGATCTCCAATCTCCTAAACAAGTGTACATCAAGGGCTTAAATAAAATGAGGCAAGTGGTATGATTTTAGGGCTCCAGCAGGGTCAAAACCCTTTACCTGAGCTTGAGACTCTGAGGGTTAAGACAAAGACTTCTCTGGACTACCTACTTTTATTAGGTCCAAAACAAAGGACAGGGAAACTGAGGAAAATGCAGGCAATGAGCAGGACCTTGGGAGTCACTTCAAGGATGTCTCCAAATAGTAAATCATGTCATTTTTAGGAGAACCATCTTATCATGAAGACATGGTAGAAGTGAGACTGTAGGAGTAATTTCTGCAGCTGCAGTCTCTATGGACTTAATTGCTGTTTGAGCCAAGTGTCCACAGCTGTGGCCTTGTCTTGCCTTTTGAGGTGTCTCCTGGCCTCACAGGCTACTATAGGCCTCATCCAGGACCAGTGATTCATAGAAGTTCATTTACTATGAATCAGCTCACATTGCCAGGCAAGGGGACAAGGCCTAGAACAGATTCACAGATAAACATAGAAAGCCAATTAGTTAATTTTAAATCCTGCTCAGAACTGTTTCATAGTGGTCTCCAACATCTCCTTTTGTTTTTGTGACAACAGCTGGATCAAGGTAAGTTATGGTTGAATGTTATCTGGGAGTTGGCCTGTCTTGGCTCCTCTTTGATAAACTATGAATAGAATAAGGAGAAACACATAGATTATTCCAATGTACCAACATAAAGCCAGAAGTGAGCCTTCAGATAGTTGAATGAATTTAATTGATCTAAAGCATCAGAAAATTTGTCCTAATCTTGAATTTGTTCATCAAATTTTGGGTTTTGTTGGGACATTGACAACACCTCCTTCTGGAGAGCATCAATATCCATAGAAACATTTTGATGGATAGCTCCTTGTACATGTTTCTTTATGTCTTTCCAAGGATGCATAGATTTGTTATACAGCAAATGATTCATGCAGAAATGAGTTGTCTTGTAGTGACACTTAATTTAGGACCAGTCATGTCTAATGTCATGGTAAATCTCAGGTGGAGAATCTGCCCAAGTAATGGGTCTAAGTAATGGTGGATCATGGACTTAAGTCCATTACTCCACTCCTGAGACTGGTGTCATATATACAGATGCTGCCAGCAGAGCCATTAAGGCAAGAAAAAAATTTTCAAGGGTTGGTGGAATTCCCCTGCGGAGACTTTATCTCTAGCATCACAAATTGTTGCTTGGATGTCATTCCACTGGATCACTTGTCTTCTCTTCTGGTCTCTTGGGGGAGATGGCAGTCAATTCTCTGGCTGATTGGCAGGTCTCTCTAGGCCCAGGTTGTCGGAGCCATCACATAAGGCTGTCTACAGCATTGGTTGTGTCTCCCACCAATGCTGTGTATTTCTTGTGGATATTTCACTTGTTAAGACATAAGTATAACCTTGCTTCCACATTATTAGATGTATTATTCCTTTAAAGTTTAAATTATGCATGGAAAAGACAAAATATAGCCTATCTGGGGGAAAAACAGGAGTGTTAAAAAAAGCATTTTTTAAAAATCAATTATGATGAGAAGCTAGTCTCTGGGAACTGCAGTTGGATTTGGCAGTTCTGGTTGCAGCACCCCATAGGACTGGTAAGCAAGCATTTACAGCTCTTAAATCTTGTAACAACTTACATTTGCCTAACTTCTTTGGAATAACAAAGATGAGTATCTCAAGGGCTACCTGAGCTTTCTAAATGTCCTAGTTGTAATTGTTCTTCAAATAATTTGTGTAATTGAATTAGCTTCTCCTTTTTAAAGGGCCATTGGTCTACCCAAACAGGCTCCTTGGTTTTCCATTGTAAAGGCAGAGCTGTTTGTGGGGTGAATCATCAGTGGCCTTTGTCAAAAAAAAACCCTGCTGATAACTGGTACCATGCCTATCATTTTTAGATGTGATCTTAACAGGCTGTTTAATTCCCTGTCCTTTGTCTTTTTTGATATCCCATTTTAATCATCATTTTCTTAATTTTAGGGTCTGAATCTGTTTGTTAAGTTTTCAAATTGGAACTTGTTTGTTTGGTTTTAAAATCAGAATTATTAGTCAGCATTAATTTCCACTTTTGTAACAAATCTCTTCCCCACAAGTTAACTGGAATAGGTGCCACCTAAAGTAAAAGGAAACCTTTTTGTTGGTCTGGTCTCTGGTAAGGCAGGGGTGAGGCACTTTGCAGCACATGCTGAGGGGTTCCCAGTCCATTAAGGGACATAGGAACCCTTTGTGTCAGCCACATAGCAGGCCATTCTAATGTAATTACCGACACATCCACACCAGTGTCTATTAGACCTTCAAAGTATTTTCCATTAATCTTTATAAAACACATAGCCCTGTGTTGTAGTCATGGGCTGTGCACAGAACAATTAGAATCAGGACATGGAGTTTATAATATTGTTTTATGACGGTTACCCAGAGTTAACTCAAGAAACTGCAGGAAATCTATCTGCAACACCAAATACATAGAATATTTAGCTAAGGGCCTAAATCCCACAGTAATGTCCCACGTGAGTCCAGATGAAAACTCAGAGCTCATGACAATGCCTCCCATGAGTCCAACTGGAGGTCCAGAACCCACAAGAAAGACTCATACCAGTCTTCTTTATGAATCTGTGCTGGGAAGACCCAAAGGCCAGCGGTGGAAGCCAGAATATCCATGCCAGTGGGCTAAAGGAGCTGTGCTAGTGGGATGAGAGTTCTATGCTGGAGCCAAGAAGCCACACTCATAACAAAGACCAGGGCTGTCCTGAAAAGCACCACGGCCATCCTCAGTGACATGGAGGCCCCAAGCTCCTCCAATGATAAGCACAGTCAAGTATATGCCAGGAAGCCAACGTGACGAGTTCATCCTGGAGACCAAGTGGCATACATCATCTCCTCTGGAGCCAGAAAGCAATGCTCAATGTGAGGTCCAGAGCTTCTCCAGAAGAACCTAATGGCTCAAACAGCAACATGTAGGAGAACCCACAATGCCTCCATGCCTCAACCCATGGCTTCTCCTCCACGTCTCTATTTATGCTGGCAACTTTCCTCAGGTGGAACATCTATGCTCAGTACCATACAGATGTAATCCAGCCGACATTAAGTTGACCACCAGTTTTTAATCCATAACAGCCTGTTTTTAGTCACTTCCTGTGTAAAATAAATTTCTCTTTTTGCAGTTTTGCTCTGATGCTCTGAGCTGTCTATACTTAACAAAAGAAGGCTTCTGTATAGGTAATAAAATCAACTGCACCAACTGTTAAAAAAAAACCAGAGATCCATAGCACTTGCAAGAACTTGTATCTCATCCCAACAATCACCATCAATCACACTAGGCCCAACAGTTATTTCTTTTAAATTTAGATCAGGCTTTCCTTTGTACAAGACCAATTGTTCCTTCAAGTGGGGGACCCCAAATTCCTGTGGGAGTTGGGGGGGCTTGTCATCTCCAATGAGAGTGACTCTGCAAACTACAGGAAAATTTAATCCTGCACTTTGAATCATTCTGCTGATGAGTGAGTTAATGTCTCTCCAGAGAGCCATCTCTGAAGCTCTTCTTGAATTTGTTGGTGAGTTTGCACTGGGTAAAGTTGACTGTCATTTTGACTCACAGGCCATGCCTCCTCTGTTGTTCTGCCAGCCTGAGGAAAGGCCCTCATCTCGTTTTTTTGGCAAAGGTGTACTATCTTTATGGAATTTAGAATGACAATATTTGGCCCAATGCCTCCCTTTTTTGGCATCTCGGATAGAGTCCAGGTGTGGAACTCAAGTCCTCCTCACCAGAGGCACTTTTCTCTTGCAGGGTTGCAGCTGCAGCATCTGTCCTATTAGATCTAATAAGAACTCTGTAATTTTCTCTAGTATGTCCCATTTTCCACAGTTAAAACATTTCACATTATTCCTTTTTGCATTTGCAAGACTAGCCATAACCTGAGCCATCATAGTTGTCCTGTAGGACTCAGTTCCAGTGTCCTGACATGCTCGAATATATGTTGTTAAATCATTAGTTGACTTTATAGGATTTAAAGCCTGTTTAAAATCCCAATTAACATTTGCATATGCTAATTGTAAAGTGAAAATGTTCGCAGCTTCTGTGTTGGATACCTGTCCGTGAATGGCTTATTGTAATTTTGTCAAAATTGAGTAAAGTGTTCCTGGTGTCCTTGCAGAATATGTAAAAAGGACATCATCCTCTGGAATAGTTTTCCTCCCTTTTTTTTTTTTTTTAACTAATTCTGCCAATTGTGGATATAGCTCTTCAGGCCATTGAATCTGTTCTTCAAGTACTATATATTCCTGTTCCAGAAAGCATTTCCTCATTTATTACTGGACATGGATAGGGACCCTTCCTGTTCTTATGAGCCTGCTCCAAAACAAGAGTTAACTTTACATCAAAATGAAGGAATTTAGCAAGAGACAGGCATGTTTGTGCCAGATGTTTGATATCATAAGGTGTCAATTGATATGTATCCAAAACATTTTGTAAGAGTCTCACAGTAGGGGCTGGGGATTTAGCTCAGCAGCATAAGCACCCCTTTAGCAGTTGTATTTCAAAAGGCATATGAACAAAATGCTCATGATCATTAGCATCTCTTTCAGTTCCAACTGGGAAGCAAGCAGTGAGGGTATTATTTGCTCCCTATGTGGCTGCCTCTTCCTGCACTACCTGTAAGTTTTTGGATAAAGCCCTATGAGATACTTTTTGTAAAGGCTCTGGCCCCTGCTGAGGTGATCCCTCTAGGGATTTTGTTTTGGTGGCTGGTGCCTCAGCTGGGAGCTCTCATCCTTCTATGTCCGAATTAGAGACCATTGACTGTCATCTCTTTAATGGACTTAAAACTGAATGGACCAGATTCCAAGTTGAGAACATCTCAGGGTAAATGATTTGTCCTGCTCTGTGTGCCTTTTAAAGATTTTTTTCAACTCTTTCCCAAATATCAATTTCTGTAGTGACTGTTTGAGGAAACTATGGATTATATTTGGTTACCTCTTTTAATATTTTAAAGTCTTTTTTTGGCACATGAGCCCCTAAGCAGGCTTTGGAGCAGTTGTAAATACCTTTGCTCCTTGGCTGAAACATTTTGCCCCATATTTTACTCCCAGATAAAATGGCTTTTCACAGTGGAAAGACTCACCCTTTTTCTTCCTTCACTTCTCTCTAAGCATCCCTGGTGAAGCTTTTGTTCTGTGAAGGCCTCCTCCATATCCAAACTTTTCAACTCTGAGTGGACTTACTGGTTCAGGTGAAAATTCCTAGACCAAGGATTTTAGGTCCCTGTTCAGTTATTGGGTCCTGAGCTACATCCCCAATTTCCCAAACAAGTATACAGCAAAGGCTTAAATAAAATGAGACAAGTAGTATGATGTTAGGACTCTAGAGGGTCAAACCTGTTAGCTGAGCTCGAGACTCTGAGGGCTAAGACAAGGATTTCTCTGGACACCCCACTTTTATTAGGTCCAAAACAAAGGGCAGGGAAACTGAGGAAAGTGCAGGCAATGAGCAGGACCTTGGGAGTCACTTCAAGGATGTCTCCAGATAATGAATCATGTCATTTTAGGAGAACCATCTTATCATGAAGACATGGTAAAAGTGAGACTGTAGGAGTAATTTCTGCAGCTGCAGTCTCTATGGACTTAATTGCTGTTTGAGCCAAGTGTCCACAGCTGTGGCCTTGTCTTGCCTTTTGAGGTATCTCCTGGCCTCACAGGCCACTACAGGCCTCAGCCAGGACCAGTGATTCACAGAAGTTCACTTACTATGAATCAGCTCCCATTGTCAGGCAAGGGGTCAAGGCCTAGGACAGACTCACAAATAAATAGAAAGCCAATTAGTTAATATTAAGTCCTGTTCAGAGCTGCTTCGTAGTGCTCTCCAACAAGTACATACTTGTTACACACTATTATTGGCTTGCAAGTAGAATTTTTTAAAACAGAATTTAACTAAAATATCAATGTGTACTTTAAGAGCAAGGATTGTTTCTTTAAATTTTTATTGCATATATTGCTGGGGATATGGCTCAGCAACACTGTGCTTGCCTGGAACACACTAGATCATGAGTTCTATTCCTGGTACCAAAAACAAACAAAAAAAAAAAACCAAAAAATAAAATCTCATAATCTCATGTATTTATGAAACCATGAACCATGATCCATGAACTGGATCATGATGTAAAGTATATTTATTGATAATGTGACCAAAAATGTTTGAACAGCTTTATGGGGGAGGAGATCGGTTGTCAATAAGCAACAACTGGAATATTGAGGATGGCTTTTTAATAGGTGTAGCACATGAACTGGACCATATAGAATACAAAAAGGCACTAAGAATACAGGAAACTGCTCACAAAGGTGCGTTATACAAAAGAGGTTAAAAGCGAAGAATATAAAGCAATCAAACACAAAAATTCAAAAAATGTGTTTTTAAAGAATGAAATCTTGAACTTAGCTGGAACAAAAGTTAAGGTTTGTCACTGTACACTGATCACATCCCTTTTTAAAGCTAAAGATTTAGCTATTGTTGGATAATTGAAAAGTCTATTCATTCTCTTTTCACTGAAATTAGACTTTGAAACATCTCTTTACCAGTCAGAGCACTGGCATTGGAAGAAAAGGATGTCAATTAACAACAGAAGATCTTGAAGCTTATATTTATGTCTTTTCTCAGCCTGGAGCATTAAGTGGTCCAATTAACCATTACCGAAATATTTTCAGGTCAGTATAATTTATTTTTGGTTAAGTAAACTATTTCAGTTTGATTCTAAAAAAACAACATTTTAAGATTAAATTTACTGCTTACCCAAGTAGTCAAATACAATACTCTGAATTTTTAGTAGTTGTGTAGTCTTTTTATGGAAAATTTCAAACGTATGAAAAATTTAAAAGAAAAATACAGTACAGTAGATCCTCCACATAGCTGTCACTTGTTTTATCTGTAATTCTGTTCACTTAATCTCTCCCTTTGAATTAGTTTGAGTAGATTTATATTTTAATGATTATTGATTTATTTAAGAATATTTCTTGAGCTAGGCATGGTGGTGCATAGTGAGTTCAAAACCAGCCTGAACAACATAATAAAACCCTATCTACACCCCCAAAAATTCTATTAAGCACTTTCTATGTTCTAGGCTGTTAATATGCAAGCTACAGTGATAAGCAAAACTTGACAAGATTCCTGGTCTCATGAAAGCTTGTAGTGTTGTGGAAAAGCCACACATTAGCAATTAACCAGAATGATGAATTTGTGGTTATAAACTAACAGAAAAATGTTGAAAGGAAGAGATGAGAGTAATCCCAGCACTCAGGAGGCTGAGGTAAGAGGATCACTGCAAGTTCAAGATCAGCCCGGGTTACAAAATGAGTTCAAGGTCAGCCTGAACTGCATAGCAAGACCTTGTCTCAAAATGACTAGAGAGAGAGAGAGAGACAGACAGAGACAGACTGAGAGAGAGAAGAGAGAGAGAGAGGAGAACTGAGGATGAGGAAGTGATGTTTGAGCAAGGAAGTAAAGGATTTAACTATTTGTTGAAATTAAGGGTAGGAAAACTGGAGTAGGAAAGAGTGTGGACCAAAGCTGTGTGGGAAGATGGATGTTGTGGCTTCCAATAACAAGAATTAGAGCCAGTGTGGCTAGAACACCCCAAGTGAGGATGAGAAGTGCATGGGACAAAGAGAGGTCCCAAAGGTAGCTAGCAGGTGACCATGAAGAGCCAAGTGAGTCATATCAAGAATGTAAGAGCATGATTATGAAGCCAGTGAATGTGAGTTTTAAGCAAAGGAGAGGAAGAGAGAAACTTACCCAGCTCATATTTGATAAGTTGTGCTCCCTTCAGCAGCACATATACATATTTGGGTAAGTTTACTCAGACCATAGTGTGGACAATGTAATGGAGAGATTCAGAGTGGATGTGAAAGAACTACAGCAGTCCAGCGGTGGAGATGAAGAAAGGGGATAGATTTAATAAATATTTAAGAGGTAAGTTGAGTAATTTTATGATACTGGAATTCTCAGGGCAGAAATTATATCTAAATATGTCTTAGGCTATTATCACTCCCTGGAATGCCTGGCAGAAATTTTTCTTTAGACTGAACAATATTCTTTCAAAATTTTCTGACAGTGAGTTCATGATGCAAATTATAAAAACCAACAACCATCCAGGGATTTAGCTCAGCGGCATAATAAGTGCTTGCCTTGCAAGCGTGAGGTAGTAAGTTTGATACCCAGAACCAAAAAAACCAACAACCCACTATTAATGAGAATCAGGATATAATTGCAGCAGAACTCCTATCAATTTCAAATAGAAATAGACTATAACATATACTTAAATTACTAAATATATAAAAGAATAAAAATATGAGAAGAGTAAGTCATTATTGGAACAGACTAGAAATAGCTTTTATAAAATCTGGATGAACTTTTAGAAAATGAATGACCACTAAAGTCAATTAAATAGCATTTCATACAAGATAAAGAGAATTGTTAATTGGAAATTGTATCTCAAAAAATTAACTAAAACATAACTTAGAGAAAAAAATGAAAACTTAAAACAGGATGTATTTGACATGAGGATAGAATTAGAAATTATATATATATATATATATAAATGTATAGTAGATGCTAAGAATATGTATATATTTACAGTTGTAGGTTTAAATTTTAAGCACATATATATGTATTTACACAGACTATACATGTATGTATGTATGTGTAGATGTATTAAACTAAGAATTTTTCTGAGAAAATAATAGAAATAGAATGTATTAAACATTTTAAAACCAGTAGAGGGGGATAAGAAATTCAAAGGAACATAGAAAAGATAAAAAAGAAGCGAAGAAGACAAAATAAAAAGCACAAAATAAAATGACAAAACAAGTCCATGTGTTGGTGGGTACAGTCATTGTGAATGCATTAAACTTTCCAGTTAAAAGGTTCCAGATTAGGTTTTTAAAAATTCCAGCTTTATGGTATTTATGCAGATACAAATAAAGCATGAGAATACAAAATTGCTAAAAGACAGAAAAAGTTATATAGCAGGTATTGGTTTAAATAAAACAAATCTCTCAAACTTTTGGTGTTAGTGTGGAATCCAAGAAGAATCTTAAGATATAAATGAGGGCAGAAGAAATAAATTCAGATCTCCTTTTTAGACTAGCAGCAAAAAACGTTACAAATATATACATATACATTTGTAAAGGGCAAATAGAGATAATGATGTGTTTTCATGCAAGTCTCAGTTTTAGACAGAAGACAAGAATGATAGTTTTTTTAAAAATTGTTTTCATTTTATTTCCTTATGAGAGCTAACTTCGAGATACAAAATAGTATGCTGTTAAACAGCTACAAGAGGGGAAATCTCATCTTTCTGAAGATCTTTTACTAACAATTGTTCATTAGAAAGACTTGCACTCCCAAGAGGAAGCGCTAGCATCCTGTTAATTTAGCAGAGAGGGAGAGAGGAAAGAAAAGAGAGGAGAAAAGAGAGGAGAGAAGAAAGAAAGGAGAGAGGAAAGGGGACAGAAGGAGAGAAGAGAGAGGAGAGAAGGAGAGAGGAAAGGAAAGAGAGCCCTAGCCTGTGAACAGCAGAACTCATAAAATTACAAAAACAAAAGACACTGTTCAACTAGATTGTTGGGGTGAGGGATTTAGCTCATAAGTGCCTGCCTGGCAAATGCAAGGTCATGAATTCGATCCTTGGTACCAAAAAAATAAAAATAAAAAAACTAGATTGTTGTGGATTAAATATAGTTGGGTGAAGGTCACAGCAGACCTGAAAACTCAAGTGATGCCCCTGGGCAATTCTTCATACCAAATAAGCAAGCCAAGTACATAATTAAAAACATGACTGGATGACATATAATAAGACTACAAATTAAACATATTTCATTGTACTCAAGCATGAAATTGGCCCTTATTTACCACCCTGGAGTCTCCCCAGGATCACAGCTTGATCTAAGTACTCTCCAAAATCTAGATTCAAGGAATCAAAATGGACCAGGAATCAGAGTTAACTATAGGATCTATATAGTATATCAAAAGAAAGTAAAAATTAACATACTTCTAGAAAAAAAGGCCAAATCTACAAAAATGATATAAAAGATTTTAACCCACTTTTCATGAGATTTTTATCAACCAAGCAGAAAAGTAATCTATTGTTATAAAATATTTGCACTGTCCTGTTAACATCTTTGATCTTATAAACAATTCTTTGAAAAATATTTACAAAGACTGGTTACATACTGGACTGTAAAACAACTCAACCTAATATCAGATAGATTATGTTCTCTGAACACAATGCAATTAGAAATTAACAACAAAATTTTAGAAAACTCCATAGGTTCAGAAATTTTAGGAAACATTAATGTGTGTCTAGAGTAAAGAAGCAACTTTACTCTCACATGAATCAAAACAGATGGCCTCTGTGACCCCCAACAAACAAGTAATTCTGCGGGAGACAACGGCAAGGTGTCCTGTCATTCAGTTCTAATAGCATCTACTTAGAGATGGCATCATATGACATAGGTTGAGAGCTTAATCCTCCAATTGACCTCACTTTAAAGCCTGTCACAATTCTGGGACTTTGGAGCTTCTTACCAACTAGAAAAATTGAGGTTCCCATAAAGCCCTCCTGAGACTGTGATGTGTAGAAAAGAAAATTTGCAAACGTTTATTGTATTGTTTTTATAATATAGTTCCTACTATATTCAAGGAAAATGACTAAGAGATCATCTGATGATGGACTTGCACAGATTTTATTTTTATTCTTTATACTCTTCTGTATTTAAGAAACTACACAATAAAAACTTTGTTTTAAAAAGAATCTTCTTGCAAAATAAATCTAGTATCATGTAATATTAAAGGCAAGTCCATATATATTTTCTGATGTTTCAGCTCTGGGTTTCAGATAAAATACATCAGATTATCTAACAGTAATTTAAACTGTACTTAAAAAGTAACAGTATAAATATCTTTTATCACACCTCATAAATTCTAGCATTTCTATAAATTCTTCATAGCACTGAATTTCATATTGAATTGTAGTCCTCTATAAATTTTGCTAGCCTCTTATTTCAAACAAGATATATTATGGTAGCTATTTTGGATTTGTTATTATCTTTCTTGGAAGTCTTTACCGCATTCATTGTTTTGTTCTATTGGTTCTATTTTGTTCTGTTGTGTTTGATCTTTACTATGTCTGAATGTATGGGCAGCTATTTTGGAGACAACAAAAAGCCTTATGGTAACCATTGTTGATTTCCTATTATTTTGTTTTGAAGTCCTGTGTCACGTACACTGTTTTGTTTTGATTGGCTTTATCCTGTTTTATTTTGCTTGGTTTTATTCTCTATAAAATAAAAATTACAAAAAATTTTTGCTAGCTTCATTCAATTTGAAAATTTAATGGGCTCTTTCTTAAATAACCTTTCATTTGTTTTGTTGTATAAAGTTGACTGCCTAATGTGGCATTTCTCAACCATTTTTCATTAGTACTTCTTTAAGGAGACTTTATAGACATTTTTCCCTAATCATGCTCTACCTTATGAAATATTATCTGTTTTTATATGCTTTATAAAAAATAAGATTTCCATTACCCCAAATCAATTTTTATCTCGTTAGAGGCAATATTACTACCTTTGAATGTATAGAGTGAAAAGTGTAATAAAGCATTGTGGAAAATAGTATTTTAACTTTTACAATGAATTTCAAAACTTACATGTTTATTTTGTAGCTGCCTGCCTCTCAAGCATCACATGGTAACCACTCCAACATTGCTATTGTGGGGAGAAAAAGATGCATTCATGGAGGTTGAGATGGCTGAAGTCACAAAGATGTATGTTAAGAACTATTTCAGATTGACTATTTTGTCAGAAGCCAGTCATTGGCTTCAGCAAGACCAGCCTGACATAGTGAACAAATTGATATGGACATTTCTAAAAGAAGAAACAAGAAAAAAAGACTGAGTTTTCTTCATCTTCCACATGGGGTCTGTAATGAAATCTCTAATTTTATTCATCTTATGTTTTGTTAGGGGAAAAATCTGTTTTACTATATTTGATTATAAATAAATATTCTGAAAATGGTATTGAAAACATGTGAATGTGTGAACATGTGATATGTTGATTTTCATCTGATTTTCATTTTGAACAGATCTGCCTTTGAAAGTATCTGCCTTAAAATATATGGGCCAGGGGTCTGGGGATATAGCTCAGCGGCATAAGCGCCTGCCTTGCAAGCAGGCAGTCGTCAGTTCAATCCCTGGTACCAATAAAAAGGAAAAAGACCAAAAAAAAAAAAAAAAAAAACTATATATATATATATGGGCCAGGATATAGCTCAGCAGCACAGTGCCTGCCTGGCAAGTGTGAGGCCATGAGTTCAGTTCCTGGTATCTGAACAAATAAATAAATGTATATAAGTTGGAGAACATGGCTCAATTTTGGTTTCTTGTTTTCTTTACCTTGACATAAGGTGCCTTCTACAATAAAGATTAAAGTTATGCCATATTGAAAGACAAATCTGCTAATTTCATTTAAAAGTTTTTGCTGTTTTTAACCACTAAAAATTCAGTTATCAAATCACACACAAATTGTGTATAAATATATGTATATGAAAATATAACTAAATGACTGTGCATTCTTAAAATGGGCTGTAAGTACTATTTCTACTGGGAAACTTAAATTGCTTTTTTAACTGATATCTTGCCATGTCAATTTAAGAGACATGAAGATTCATATATGTATGTATGCGTGCATCCATGTGTGTATTTATGTATATATACTTGTTAAACATTGCAGAGTAGGGATGCATATCCATTAATTTACTTGTCTGAATTCTCCAGCATAATTGATGAATAGGAAAATAAAATGTCTTTCTGCTCCTTTCAATGTAACAAGAATTGAATACTGTACTTTCTGTCTGCACTAGAATCTAAGCTCCACAGGGCAAAAATTTTGTTTTATTTTATTTACTAATATACATCCAGAGTCTAGAATAAGAGCCTGGTACACTGTGAGCAATCAAATATTTGCTTAATGAATAAATACAGTGGTCCCCATTATCCACAGAAGATATATTCTAAGATGCTGAAGACAACATGAAACATTGTATAGTAACACCTTTTCCATTCTGACTAAGCACTTAACATGTATTGTGGCTATTTCTTTTTCAGTTTCCAGTGTGATAGCAAAACTATCATGAATTTTTTTCTTCTTTCCAATTTCATAGATAGATTTTTTTTTTCTTACTGAGGATCTTAGCAACTTTAGCATATGATTTTTAAATTGAGAACTTTTACCTTTTCACTTAAAGGAAGCACTTTACAGCTTTGGCATATCTGAACTGCCAGTATCACTGCTCTTGCACTTTGGACCCATAATTAAGTAAAATAAAGATTACTCCTGCATCACCCTCCTATGTGCTAGGATTATAGGTTTTCACCACCATGATTGGCCCTGCATTGTTTATTTCTGAAATTTTTCATTTAATATTTTCAAACTGTGGCTGACCACAAGGAACTGAAACTGTGAATAAAGAACTATTATAATACTGTATATTTGACATACTGCTGTGTGTAGGAGAGGAATATAAAAGTTGCTGTATGTAGCAGGGAATATAAAAGAAAGAGGGTACATGGAATTTTCTTTTAAAGTATAGAGATCACTTTCCCATCCTCACTGAGGTCCAGGAAATTTTTATTTTTAATTCCATGGAAAAGTTATTGGAATTCTAGTGAGTTAATTCCAATTTATGACTTCCAGTGCAACCCATGGCAAAAATAAAGACATTAAGACATATTTATAATTATGGGAGGCAAGGAGTCCTAAGTCTGGCCAGGATGAAGGTTCATCAGAACAAAGACGACCTAGGGCCTAACCTGGATTTTACTAATTTGTGAAGGGAATGGCTTAAGGATGAGTGACTGTGAAAATGTCAGGAGATATGTGTTTTCTGTAAGCTGGGCTATGAGGGAGGCATGAAAACACCTCTTGCAATACACAGAGAGAAGGGTATGTAGAAGACCAATCTGCATAACACAACTAAGGTAGCTTTAATGTTTAGTGGGTGAGCACAGCTCTGATGTGCCAACTTTTCTGCCCTGGGAAGTCTTAGCCTCAGTTTATCTGGAGGCTGAAATCCAGTTAACAGCTCTGGAGTGGTGGCTCTATATCCTGCCCAGCTCAATCATGTTTTGATGGGAATCACAGGGAAACAGTGATTGTCACCTAGCTTCAAAGATTATGCATCAGCACTTCAGCTAGCCCTATTTACATTGCATAGAGCCAATTGAAGGGAAAAGGAACTGGCTTAGTAAATGGAGATAAGGCAGGTTTAGCCAAAATGGAGACAACTGAGTTGTCCAGGTGGTCCTCCACAAAAAGGACACACAGAATGCAGTTAAACAGAGTCAACAGTAGGAATGAACATTACAAGTAAGAGTGAGAAGAGCTGCAAAACAGAGAATAATACCAGCTAAGGGAGTATTCCTCATTCCCTTGAGTTCTCCTTTGGTGAAGAACACAACTAATAACATTAACAAATCATAGCATTAGAGACTATACTGTGTTCTCAAATTAGTCCTACATCAGTGAAAAGAATGTATACCTCACTAAGCACAATTCTCAAAGTGACAGAAGAAAGTGGAATGTCTCTAAGAATTCTCATTATACCATAGCAACTTGTATTTACAATACAAATTCTCTTCTTTACATACATTATACTGGTGTCTCATAACAACACTACCAGGTAGGGTGCAACACAAATTTATAGATGTGGAAATGAAATTTAATGAGTAACTTTGCCAATGCCCATAGCGTAAGTGTTAGATCAAGCCTAAGATTCATCTGGCCATGAAGTCTATGATCTTGCACTTACATCACATTTCATTTACCAGCTTTGTATTGAAGAATATAATATTCTTCAATAGATAGACTAGATGGAAACATGTTTCACAGATCAACAATATGATTTTAATTATGGGGAAAAGGAATTCAAATTAGTGATTAGCAAACATAAGATTCCTCCACAATGTCAGAATTGCAAATGCTAACAGGTATAGAAGCAAGCCTGGTTCACAACAACTTTGGTTTATTATGTCCCCCTCTTTACCACTTTTGAAGAGCAACAACAACCACCAAAAAAAGACTTATTAGTTTTGTGTATATTGACACAATAAAGAAGTAATTCTGATTTATTTTAATGAAAACCTATTAAATTAATTTTGAGGTTTGTTATTACTGTCATGTCATTTTGGAATGATAGTTCATGTGGACCAATTTTAAGACTATGAACCAAAGCCAGGCATGGTGGTGCAGGCCAGTAATCTCAGCACTGTGGGAAGCTGAGGCAGAAGGATCACAAATTGCAGCCCAGCCTGGGCAATTTATCGGGACCTTGATTCAAATAAAATATGAAAAATGGTGGCTGAAGATGTAGCTCAGTGCAAAGACCTTGAGTTCAGTTCTCAGTAACACATGCACACACATACATAATCAAATGTGTCATGGTCAATTCTAGCCTATTTTATTTTAAGGTAGGGTTTCCTTGCGTTGCCCAGACTGACATTGAATTTGTGATTCTCTTCCTGTGTAGCTATGAGTAGCTGTAATTACAGAACTGCACCATCACACCCAGGTCAATTTTGACCTATTAAAATGACTGTACTCTAATTTTCAGTGTGTGTGCAAAAGTGCTTGTAACACAAAGGCTCAAGTGTGCCATCAGTTAAACAGGATAAAGAAAACTGTTTCCATAGAAATCAATTTATAGTAAAAGTAAATTAATTTGACAAACTATCTGCCTAAGCACCTCACAGTAAATAAATTGTAAGTGGTAATGGCACTTAAATTTAAAAATTATAATAGTATCTATCCATTCAAATTAATACAGTAGTAGGTACACATGCATAATATAAATATCAGAATTTGCTATGTGAAAATAATTTATTAGTCATATATATCAAAAGCAAGGTGTTTGCAGAAAAGAAAAAAATGATTTTCTGTTGATCTGATTATAAGTAGCTTGTTATATTTACCATCTTTGATTTTTCTAATTTTCAAAGGTCATACATCATTTCCTATTTATTACACACAGTCCCTTCTAAGACTTCTAACTATATGCAAACAGAAAGATTACTTGAATGTGAGGAAGGGGTGCATGCTAGAGACCACCCCCCGAGCCAAACTCTCCACATTCTGAGTTTACGGAGAAGTCAAGCATGAGGGCTGAGCTGTCTGTGGACACCGAGACAGAGCAATGGGAGACCGCGGTCGCGCAGGAGAGGAGCCAGCCCCTGTTCCCGCCAGTGGTGGCCAACCCCTTCCTGCAGCAGATGCACATCAGTGCGTGGCGATGGGCTTGCACCATCCTCCTCGGGACTGTGCTGGTGCCGGTGCGTGTGGCCTGCCTCGCCTTTCTCTTCATCCTCCTCTGGCCTATGGTCGTGCTTTCCACCTTTGGTCTTCCTGCTCAACAAGTCGAACCGACCAAACACTGGCGAAAAAGTCTGAGGAAACCAGTACTTAAATTTTTGTTTCAGGTGGCGATTTTTTTTGCTGGGTTCATAGTTAAAGTAAAAGGGAAAAAGGCGACTCGAGATGAGGCCCACATCTTCGTTGTAGCACCACACTCGACTTTCTTTGATGCAATCGCCTGTGTTGTGGCAGGCTTACCTTCAGTGGTCTCTGCAAGTCAAAACGTGCAGATTCCAATAGGTGGGAAACTCCTCCTGTTAACAGAGCCGATACTTGTGACCCGAGAAGACCCTATTTCTAGAAAGAATACCAGGAATGAAATATTGAAGCGAGTAACATCTGGAAGGAAGTGGCCGCAGATTTTGATTTTTCCAGAAGGCGTGTGCACCAATCGCTCCTGTCTGATCACTTTTAAGCTAGGAGCCTTCTCTCCAGGTGTCCCTGTGCAGCCAGTGCTGCTCAGATATCCAAACACCCTGGACACAGTGACTTGGACCTGGCAGGGGTTTACAGGCTTCCAGGCCTGCATGTTGACGCTGAGTCAACCTTTCACCAGGGTAGAAGTTGAGTTTATGCCTGTTTATATCCCAAATGATGAAGAAAAACAAGACCCCCTCCTTTTTGCCAATGCAGTTCGAATTAACATGGCAAATGCTTTGGGAGTGCCTGTGACAGACCACACTTATGAAGACTGCAGACTGATGATTTCTGCAGGTAACCTTCAACTCCCCATGGAAGCTGGTTTGGTAGAATTTACAAAAATTGGTCATAAATTAAAATTAGATTGGGATAATGTTCATAAGTATTTGGATGAATATGCTTCAATTGCAGTTGCCTCAAAAGGAGGGGAGATAGGAATTGAAGAATTTTCAAGTTATTTAAAACTCCCAGTTTCAGAGCCCTTGAGACAACTTTTTGCTCTCTTTGACAGGAATAATGATGGCATCATAGACTTCAGAGAGTATGTGATAGGTCTGACTGTCCTGTGCAATCCTACCAACACTGAAAAGATTCTGCAAATGTTATGTAAGCTTTTTGATCTTGATGACGATGGTTTCATAACAAAACAGGAATTTGCTGCTGCACTTCGGGCAGTTTTTGGAGTGCCAGATCTTGATATTACCAGACTGTTTCAGGAAATAGCTGGAAAGAACTCAACACACATTTCATACAACACCTTCAGGAAATTTGCCCAGACGCATCCAGTGTATGCCAGGTTATTTACTTCATATCTAGACCTCCAGGCAGCCTATATATATTCACTGCCACAAGACATACAGTCTTAATCACTATGTTGAAATGTTGAAGTCACCCCGAACATGGTGAAGGTATCTTCTATGTAGAAATTCTGACTGAAATAAAAATTTCCCTTGTCGATGTCGCTCCTGGCCGGCAGGAAGGACACACGACAAAGTCTGGCAGTGGACAACCTTTTCTTTTTATTTTCCTTCTCCGTACAGCCTGCCCTGGGATCGCTCCCAGCCGAAGCCTCCTTTGGTCCGCTCCCCGCGGCTCCTTCTGGGCTTCTACTTCCGGGCTTCTTCTTCCCCCCCAGGGGTGGCACCAGTATATATACGGATACAGTGTCCAATCATGTTAAAGTGAGCAAGGCAAGCTGATTGGCTAACATCATCAGTTGCCAGGCAGACTATATTGTTGAGCGGGTTGCTTACGCGGTAAGCAGGAGACTAACGTGCTCGATGGGAGGGGTAATCTACCTCAGGCTTTACTCTTTACTACAGGCCTCACGTCCGCCAAGTGAGGCGACCGGGCTCGGGGCTGCGGCTCCCAACATCTCCCCCTTTTTTATTTTTTATGAATGTGCGCATCGTAGCCCTTCCTGGACTGGGTGCAGAGGCTTATGCCCTATGTGTAGGCCCACCGTAGGTCCTTGGCTTAGACCCTGGTCGGCCGTCCCATGGTCCACCAAGGCCCTGAGGCCCTCGTCCTTTTTCTAGGGCCAGGCACAAACTGGACGGAACCTGGATGCACACAAGCTTGCACTCATTTTCTCTCCGTAAAGAAATCCCCTCGGAGAGAAATTTAGACCTGGGCAGCATCTAACAGTCCAGCGGCTTACGTGCAGGATGGGGTAGGGCCTGGCTTAGGTTGAGTCGCACCGGGGGAGTACGCTCTTACCCGTCATTGACTCTCCTACCCTGCTATATCATAATTTTTTAGAGGAGGAGTGTGGGAAGCTCACCGTCCCTAGACTCGGTCGTAGGCTAGGCAAGCGAGCCATGCATATGCCTGAGGATCTTCTTGTCCATTTCGGGCTACCGCTATTTCTATTCATCTTGTTGGTTGGTCTGTGATGGATCTCCGGTAGGGCAGGTCTGATCTTCAGTCGAGGGCTTTGTCGCCCGTGTCAGTCTCTCCGGTACCCACAGTGGTTCTCGTCCCGATTCCTGTGGGAAAACACAAACCGCGCCTCGGTTCCAGCTGACCACTGGATCCGGGCCCATCCATTGTCCTGTCAGGACATCTTTCCACTTCACCCACCCTTTATGGTTGGGGGAAGGGTTGCAGTGCTCCACGGCTGGGGAGCAATTATCATTATTTAAATTTTAAAAATTGTGTGTGAATAGTGCCATGGATAATCGTGCCTTTGGGGCCAGGCCTTGGCCTACTCCCCCTTTTTGTTTTTGTAAAATTTCTTTGAGGCTTCTATGAATCCTCTCAATGATTCCTTGACCTTGGGGATTGTATGGGATACCATGTTTTAATTGAACCTCCATCATTTTGCAGAACTCATTGAAGGCTTTGCCTATATAGGCTGGTCCATTATCAGTTTTTAATATTTTTGGTTTGCCCCATGCGGCCCAAGCCGCCAGGCAATGACTGATCACATTAGACACTTTTTCACCTGTTTCTGCTGTTGCGAATATGACGTGAGAACAGGTGTCTGTGGAAACATGAACATATTTAAGAGTCCCAAACTCCTGTATATGTGTGATGTCCATCTGCCAAACATCACCAGGGATCAAACCTCGAGGGTTTACTCCCATCGGTATGGCAGGTTTGTATGTGGCACAGGAGCCACATAGTCGCACGATATCTCGTGCATCTGCTCTGGAAACATGGAAATGGTTTGCTAGTGTCCTGGCATTGACATGAAACTTATCATGGAAGGCACGGGCTCGCTCGATTGGTGTTAGTAAGGTAAAAATCCATAACGGGCGAGTGGCAGTATCAACAGCCGCATTCCCCTGTGCCATGGGCCCCGGCAGGGATGTATGTGCTCTTATGTGGGTGGTGAAGACCTTATGGTGTCTGTTCTGAAGCAATGTCTGGATAGACAGGAACAGCCCAGCCACTGTGGAAGTGGATCTAATTAAACCGGCAGTCTCAAGCACTTGCATAGCATTGACCACATACCTAGAATCGGAGACAATATTAATGGCTTCTGAGAACCGTTCAAGAATCATTTTAACGATCTGCAGTTCCACCACCTGAGGCTGATCAGGTTCAAATTGTATGGTAACCGGGGGCTTGCCTAGGATCACATAGGCGCCTATCCCCGTCTTGGAGCCATCTGTGTATATTGTAGTTGCTGGGACTAATGGCTTAGAGGCAGTAACCTTTGGAAAAATTATAGGGTGCTGAGTGACAAATGACAAGATAGGGTCTTTAGGGTATTGATTGTTTATATCCCCATGGAAAACACATCTCAGAATGGCCCATGTATCTATGCAGGCAGCCAGGGTCTTGATCTGGCTGGCGGTATAGGGTACTCGGATGGCTTGTGGTCCTGAGCCAAAATGTTGGACAGCTCTATCATGCGCTTCAAGGGCCAATGAAGCGACTGCCTCCGGGTAATGCTCTATGACTTTTGCAGGTGAGACCTTAGGGTGTATCCACAGTAGTGGTCCTTTCTGCCAAATCACCGCTGTGGGCTGTAGACTAGTCTGTAGCAAACAGACATCAAAGGGTCGCCCTGGTTCAATTCTGTGTAAGGTAGCCCCACCTAAGGCTTTTCCCACTCTCTGTAAGGCAGCTCTTGCCTCAGGAGTGAGCCTCCTGTGGGAGGCTATATCTGGGTCTCCCTTCAGAAGGTCGAACAGGGGTTTGAGATCTGAATTTGGTATATGTAAATATGGCCTAATCCAATTAATGTCTCCCAATAGCTTTTGCATGTCATTTAGGGTCCTAACGCCATCCGTCCTAATGGTGACCTTCTGTGGAGAGACTAGCATAGGGGAGATTTTCGCGCCTAAGTAGGTCACCATTTCTCCTCCCTGAATCTTGTCGGGGGCAACATGCAGATTAGCTTGTCTCAGGGCCTCGACCAACTGGCCGAGCATATTATTTAGCATGTCTGGGTCCCTGCCGCTGAGTAAAAGGTCGTCCATGTAATGCACACATCTTATCTTGGGAAAGGATTTCCGTAGGGGGGCCAGTAGGGAATCAAGGTAAATCTGACACATAGTGGGACTGTTGGCCATACCTTGGGGCAGCGTTATCCACTCGTATCTGAGATCAGGGCTTTCTTGGTTAATGGTGGGTAAAGTAAAGGCGAACCTATGAGTGTCCTCTGGATGCAGGGGGATTGAGAAGAAACAGTCTCTAAGATCTATAACATAAACTGGCCAGGACTGAGGGATGGCTGAGAGAGCTGGCAGCCCCCTCTGGACCGCCCCCAGGGACTGCATCTGCGCGTTGACCGCCCTTAGATCATGGAGCAGCCTCCACTTGCCAGACTTTTTCTTAATTATAAAAATGGGGGTGTTCCATGGGGAGGTTGACGGCTTAATGTGTCCTAATCTAAGTTGTGTACTGACTATTTCTGACAAGGCTAATAGCTTCTCCTTAGGCAGGGGCCACTGAGGTACCCAAACCGGATCATTTGACCTCCAGGTGATTTTGATCGAAGTGGGTAGGAGAGCTTCTTCAGCGGCCCCTAAGAAAAACCCAGCCCTTGCCTACCTTTTTTGTTCTCTACTGGTATTGGGGATGTCCGACCCTGTAGGGCATTGCCCAAGCCTTTGCCGGGGGTATATCCCTGGTTCCTGAGTATATCCTTAGCCTGGGGGGAGCAGTTTGACGTAAGCGTGACATCCATCTGAGTGAGGATGTCCCTTCCCCATAGAGACACTGGCAACTGCAACACAAATGGTTGGAAATGGCCCTGATGACCCTCCTCATCGCACCAGAGCAGGGTTGAAGCACTAACCTGAGGAGCTGACACCATCCCCAGGCCCTGCAGCGTGTTATCTGCAGTGTTGGTGGGCCAGTTGGAGGGCCAATCCTTTCTAGAGATAATGGAACGGTCAGCTCCTGTGTCTAGGAGCCCTGTTATACTCTTGCCGTTGACCTTAAGTGAGAGCATGGGCCTTTTATCAAGTATTATATGGAGTCCCTCGAAGACTTCCCCTGAGGAACCGAAACCTTGACTTTCTCTAATTTTCTGCTTTGAGGGAAATCTCTTGTGGAGACTGGGGAGCAGCAAGAGCTGCGCTATCTTGTCTCCTTTATTGATTACCATAGTACCCACAAGAGATTGAACCATAATTTTAATGTGTCCTGTGTAGTCTGAGTCTATGACCCCCGGGACTACTATGAGACCCCGAAGGGCCGTGGAGGATCTCCCGATCACCAGACCCACGGAATTTTCGGGTAACGGTCCCTTAAAGGTGGTTTCAACCACTTGAACACCCATATCAGGCACTAATATAAGTCTGGAGGCGACACTGAGGTCCACACCTGCTGACCCAGGGGTGGCCCTTGTTGAAGGCTGCCATCCTAAGCTGTCCTGTCTCTGGGGCGGGGGCCCGCCTGTGAAGGGGGCCCCCTCTGGCCGTTTTTTGGCCCTCTAACATCTCGTCCACAAATACGGTTGCCCTGAGCATCAAAGACCGACCTACACTCCTCAGCTTTGTGTGATCCCCTCTTGCATCGCCCACAAACATATGGTTCTTCATTCCTAGGGCGAGGCCTAGCATCTGCATTGTTTGGGCAATGACGTTTAATGTGTCCTGGCTCCCCGCAGGCAAAACACCCTTTAGCCTTACATTCCCCTTCTAACCCGCGAGGTCCCCTCTGCTGTACAGCCGCGGCCAGGAGAGCAGCCACTCCCGAGTTGGAGAGCGGCCCCCCTATCTCTCTGCATATCCTAATCCAGGCGTTGAGGTCCTTGTTCTTATGAGGAGCTATCGCTGCCTTGCACTCCTTTGTACATTGCTCAAAAATCAGCTGCCTTACCAGCGGTCGAGCCACTCCCGGATCAGAAAATATCTTATCGGCAGCATCTTGCATTCGGGCCACAAAGTCAACAAATGGCTCTGTGGTACCCTGAATTACTGGGAAAGAACCCTGCGACTCCTTA